GAGGTTCCTGGCTCCTGGCTTTGGATTGGCACAGCACCAGCCGTTGCTGTCACTTGGGGAGTGAACCATCGGATGGAAGATCTTCATCTCTGTCTCTCCTCCTCTCTATATATCTGACTTTGTAATAAAAATAAATAAATCTTTCCGAAGAGGAAAGGAGGGTGGCACAATATATCAATGGCTAAATCCTTACCTTGCAAGTGCCAGGATCCCATATGAGCGCCAGTTTGTGTCCCATGTCCTGGCTGCTTCACTTCCCATCCAACTTCTTGCTTGTGGCCTGGGAAAGTACAGACCCTACACCTGTGTAGGAGACCCAGAAGAAGCTCCTGGCTTTGGATCAGTTCAACTCTGGCATTTGTGGCCACTTGGAGAGTGAACCAGTGTATGGAATCTCTGTCTTTCCAATAAAAATAAATTAATCTTTAAGAAAATAAAAGAGAAATGGAGAGCCGGTACTGTGGCTAAACAGACTAATCCTCCACCCTACATGCCAGTATCCCATAGGGGTGGGGTGCCTTCACCGGCCACTTTATTTCAGATCCAGCTCCCGGCTTATGGTCTGGGAAGGCAGCAGAGGATGGCCCAACACCTTCGGAATTTGCACCCACATTGGAGACTCAGAAGAAATACCTGGCTTCAGACAAACTCAACCGTGGCCATTAGGGGAATGAACCAGCAGATAGAAGACCTTCTCTATCTTTCCTTCTCTCTGTAAATCTGTCGTTCAAATAAAAATAAATAAATCTTTAAAAATAAAATAAAACATGGGCCTGGCGCAACAGCTTAGTGGCTAAAGTCCTTCCCTTGAATGTACTGAGAACCCATATGAGTGCTGGTTTGTGTCCTGGCTGCTCCACTTCCCATGCAGCTCCCTGCTTGTGGAAAAAGAAGTCAAAGCCAGCCCAAATCCTTGGGACCCTACACCCATGTGGGAGACCTGGAGGAATCTCCTGCTCTTGCTTTCGGATCTGACTCAGCTCCAGCCATTGCGGCCAGTTGGGAAGTGAACCAGCGGGTGCAAGATTTCTCTCTGTAAATATGAGTTTCCAATAAAAAAATACATTTTTATAAAAAATAGGAAATTCTGACAAGATATTTATGAATGAAAGTAAACTTACTAGTAAAGCATGCTTAGAAGTTTTCAAGTAACTGGTTACCTTACTATTAAGGGCTAAAGATAATGAATTCTGTGTGTTTATTATTTTACAATTAGATTTTACTTAGAAAGTGACATCAGGTAGCTTAATTTGTCATCTTTATCTTGGGAAGCCAAACATAATTTAACACTCTTCTATAGAGCTTTACTTGGCAAACGTATTATCTTGTCTTTGGAAGCAAAAAAATGATCAAATCTTGGCAGTCCAGTCTCCAAGGACATCTTTGTCTGGAAGGAATAGCTTTCATGACTTTTGCCTCTCTGCCTTGGAATGCTGTGCTCACCAGAGCAGGCCATGTTGAAAGGGAAAGTATGTGATGAATGACTGTCTGGGCCCAGTTCCCAGGAGTCTTGGGTCATGTGTCGTATGATGTCTCCTGCACCCTCTCTGTCTTTGGGGCTGTCCAGGCTTATGATTCCACAGTGCCAAACATGGATTTAGTTGTAGCTTCTTTTGTTGTCTTTTGGTAGAAATATTGCTAGAGTCTTTTGATTTCCAGGCAAATCTAAATACTTGGGAAGTCAGCATGGTTCCCTTGTTTACAGCCTCCGCAGACCACACGTGTTTACAGAGCTGACGGAGCCCAGTGAGAAGCCTCTTGCTGATGACAGTGCCGAGTGTGAAACAAGCAGGACGTTTTTCCTTGCAGTATTATTTCCTAATGCTTTCTCAACTTTGTTTTCCTTAGAATTTTTGTTTTTCCATCTTTTTCATAGAATTGAAAATTCAGCTAGAAGACTAGAGCTCTGTAATGCAACAATGTCATTTTGTTTTTGGCTAAGCTGTCTGCATCTTTAAACAATGGGAACTTCTATCTTAAAGCACGTTTCAATAAGTCAATCTATCTGGGGTACAAAGCACATTGGTTAGTATGTAATCCTTCTGACCATCTTTCCTTCAAGACACCACAAGAAGGGCAAATAATACCTCCTGTTACTCTCAAAGCAAACCCAGAGATTCATTTTGGAAATTTATTTTGGATCAAGTTTCACGTGTCCTAGGTTATGTCCTGACTTAAGATAAAGAGATAATTTTTTTCTTTTTTAAGATTTACTTATGTGAAAGGCGGAGTGGGATAGCAAAGGAAAGAAGTAGAAACATGTTCCATCCTCTGGTTTACTCCCCAAATAGCTAATCTCAACAGCTGGGGCTGAGCTAGGCTGAAGCCAGGAGGCTGGAACATTGTCCAGGGCTCCCACATGGGTTGTAGGGACCCGGGTTCTTGGGCCATCTTCTGTTGTTTTCCTAAATCATTTGCTGAACTAGAAGTAGAGCAGCCTGGGTTAAAGCCACACATGTATGAAAGGCCAACTTTGCGGGCAGAGGTTTAAACCACTGCCAAAATGCTGAGCACCCTTTCCAACGCCTAGTTTATTTATTTTATTTATTTGAAGGACTGACCCACAAAATGATGTTCACAGCAAGGATTTTAATTTTTAAGGTATAAAGAATTTACAAATTGATCTTAAATTTAGTGATGAAACCAGAAACTGTAGAGAGTTTACAGACTCTATTATATATTCCTTAAATTTAGTAGTGTTAGAATTAAAATATATTTTCAAATGAATCCCTTTAAAGTGAATTTCAGCCTCTTAAACAGTATAATACTTTTATCTTGGGCCTGGCACAGTAACCTAGTGCCTAAAGTCCTCACCTTGCATGCTCCGGGATCCCAAATGGGTGTTGGTTCTTATCCTGACTGCTCCACTTCCCATCCATGTCCCTGCTTGTGACCTTGGAGAGCAATCGGGGACAGCCCAAAGCCTTGGGGTCCTGCACTCTTGTGAGAGACCTGGAAGAAATTCCTGGCTCCTAGCTTCCGATTGGCTCAGCTCCAGTTGTTGCGGCCACTTGGGGAGTGAACCAGTGGATAGAAAATCTTTCTCTCTGTGTCTCCTCTCTGTAAATCTGATTTTCCAATATAGCAATCTCAGAGCAGAAACTCTCAAATTCTATTAAGACTCCAATAACTTTTTAAGATTCTAGTTGCATAGTATGCCAAGGCTTGAACCCAAATATTTTGCTCCTGAAAAATATTTACATTGGGCCTGGCATGATGGCTCAATTGCTAAATCCTCACTTCGCAAGCGCTGGGATCCCATTGGGTGCCAGTTCATGTCCTGGCTGCTCTGCTTCCCATCCAGATCCCTGTTGGTGGCCTGGGAAAGCAGTCAAGGGTGACCCAAAGCCTTGGGACCCTGTATTCCATGTGGGGAACCCAGAAGAAACTCCTGGATCCTGGCTTTGGCTTGGCTCAGCTCAGCTCTGGCCGTTGCAGCCATTTGGTGAGTGAACCAGGGGATGGAAGATGTCTCTCCTCTCTATAAATATGCATTTCCAATAAAAATAAAGAAATTTAAAAAAAATTACATTTAGATTAGTCTAATTTGTCTAAATTGTGTGTATCTTTTTTTTTTTTTTTTATAAAGAATTGTTTATTTTTATGGATACAGAGAGGAGGAGAGACAGAGAGGAAGGTCGTCTATCCGATGGCCCACTCCCCAAGCAGCTGCAACAGCTACAGCTGAGCTGAACTGAAGCCAGGAGCCAGGAGCTCTTCTGGGTCTCCCACGCAGGTGCAGGGTCCCAAGGCCCTGAGCTGTCCTGAGCTTTCCCATGGCACAAGCAGGGAGCTGGATTAGAACCTGTGCCTATATGGGATCCTGGCGCTTTCAAGGAGAGGACTGTAACTGCTACACTATCATGCTGGACCCAATTATATGTATCTTTCAATGCATTCCTAACTAAAAGTGGTTAAACAGTTTGATATCCTTCTCTTTAAATTAATTGGACAAATGGATTTTCATCAGAGAATCTACCATTTTACCTACATACATGTGCTGTTAGCTCAAGAGGGCAAATTTTGTGGACTCTAATCATGGAACCTTAGTTTGGGACTTTTCAGTGGGAAATAGAGATTCAGGAAAGCCTGTTCATCATTCCTTGCTGTTTTCTATGTGGATTTTGTTTCTGGAATCTGAAATTTTCCCTCTGTGTGTGTCTGAAAGAACTCAGTGTCTGAATCAGTGAAGGTTTAGAGTCAGTTTGTTTTGACGGTCTTTCTTGAAAACTTGTCCAAAGTAGAACCCCTAGTATTTTTAAAAAACAGGTTAAAAGTTAGAGGACAGGAGAAATTTGATTTTTTGTGTCTTGCAAGTATAACTGAAAATAAAATATTTCCCTAAGTTTTAGTGAAGGGCCTTCATCCTGTGTATGGTCAATTCTTATCCCCTTTCTCAAATGCTGCTGCCCACCATTAAGTCTCTTGTCACAGGGCATTCTAAAATGATGCCATAACATGCATGTTGAGATTCTCTGGATCTCAAATGTGCAGAAATCACAACTAAATGTCAATTCCTGAGTTAAGGAACTGACCATTATGGCTCTTTCAGTCTCTATTAATGTTTAGTAGGTCAGAGATTATGATGTTGTTTATGTTATTCCTTATGTGTCTGTAGAAATAAATACTTACTGAAAAACATTTATTTGATTGGGGCTGGGTATTTCTACCATTAATCTGATTGCTTACCTGAATTAAAGTCATGCTTTAATTGTTGTGGGCTGTATCTATCATTTGAAATTCAGAACTGTCCCCTGAGTATTGTGCACCAAAGATGACGTTTTAGTGCATTGTTCAGTGACTATACAACTCCTGTTTGTAATGGAGCTGTATGGCTGGGGCCATTATATTTCCCTGTTGATGATTTTATAGTATCCATTTGAATGATTAATATATAAAGGCAAATTTTTCAAATGTGTATCTCCTCTAAGTGTTTCTTGGGATATGTTTACATTGATGTTTTTTGCTTCTGATTTTAAATTAATTTTCCTTTGTTGTAGGATGAGCAGTTCTTAGGTTTTGGCTCAGATGAAGAAGTCAGAGTGCGAAGTCCCACAAGGTCTCCTTCAGGTATGGCAAACTAAGCAAGTGGTGTCTGTCAGTTTCTGTTGATAGGAAAGTGTAGCTTCCTCTTGCCATCCTTGCATGTCAGGGAAATCTACAATACTAGAGATAGGAGATGGTCCGTGAACTAGATTTCTTTATGGGAAACTTGTGTTAGGTCACATTTGGTTTATTTAGTATGCTTGTCTCTGTTAAGAACCTGGGGCATGGGAGGTGTGTTTCCAAAGAATGATCTGAAACCAGGTAGACACATTATAGACCATCCACTAGAATTATCCTTACGTTTACATATGCCTTTGTGACTAATTTGGCTTTTATTTCTTATGGATGAAATTTAAATCTGTTGTTATCAAGGAACTGAAAATATTGGGGGTCCAGTGCTGTGGCATAGAAAATAAAGCTGCTGCTTGCATGCCATATGGGCACAAGTTCGAGTCCTGGCTGCTCCAGTTCCAATCCAGCTCCCTGCTAATATGCCTAGGAAAGCCCTGGAGGATGGCCTAAGTGGTTGGGACCTTGTACCCACGTGAGAGAACCAGAAGCTTCTGGCTCCTGGCTTTGGACTGTCCAGCTCTGTCATTGTGGCCATTTGGGGAGTGATCCAACAGATGGAAGAGCCCTCTTGCTCTCTTTGTCTCTCACTTTGGCTGGCAGTCTCTCTCTTTGTCTCTCTGCCATTGAAATAAATAACTTTTTAAAAATTGGCACTATAGGGCCCAGCACGGTGGCGCAAGTGGTTAAGGTCCTCATCTTGCATGCCTGGGATCCCATATGGGCGTTCTAATCCCGGCAGCCCCGCTTCCCATCCAGCTCCCTGCTTGTGGCCTGGCAAAGCAGTCGAGGACGGCCCAAGGCTTTGGGACCCTGCACCCGTGTGGGAGACCCAGAAGAGGCTCCTGGCTTTGGATCGGCATAGCATCGGCCGTTGCTGTCACTTGGGGAGTGAATCATCAGACGGAAGATCTTCCTCTCTGTCTCTCCTTTCTGTATATCTGCCTTTCCAATAAAAATAAAATAAATCTTTAAAAAAAATTGGCACTATATTGAATTATTATACCTGATTCTTGAGTGGTAGTAGAGAAGAAAAAAGTTACAGGGGTGTTTATTAGCAATATTTGTCATATTCCCACCAACAGAATGACTAAAATATCTAGAAATTCTAGATTTAAAAAATATATATTTATTTATTTGAAAGAGTTGAAGAGAAAGAGAGGTCTTCCATCTACCATGTCACTCTCCAAATGGCGACAATGGCTAGGGTTGGGAAGGCAAAAGCCAAGAGCCAATAGCTTCATCCTAGTCTCCTATATGTGTGGCTGGGTACCAAACACTTGGTCCATATTCCATCTTTTTTTTTCCAGGCTGTTAGTAAGGAGCTGGATTAGAAATGGAGCATATTATAGGATTCTGGCATCACTGCTGGCGGCCTTACCCACTCCAGCACAATGCTAGTCCCTAGAGATTCCAGATTTACAAGCAGTTTCCTAAAAGAAGGTTTTCAGTGGAAATAATATATTTAATGGTCCACAGAGATCAGTACTGTGTTAGTTGACTAGAGAGCCTTTGAATGTTCATTGCCATCTGACTTTAGATACAGGTTTTGGTTTTATGTGGTTAGATACTCTAGTTAAATATGATATTGTTAGCTGGTTTTACTCCTTTACATTGACAGTTTTTTATTCCCAAATGGAGGTGGTATTGCTATTTTAGTGGGAAGGAATTATCCAGTAGTGGTCCAGTATCTGTGCTATTTCGACTGTAAAAATGTTTTCTCTCCCTCCTCCCCATTTGAAGATTTATTTGTTTGTTTATTAATTCATATATCTGAAAGAGTTGCAGAGAAACAGATCATCCAACCCCTGGCTCCCTCCCCAAATGGCTGCAGTGGCCAAGTCTGCACCAAGCCAAAGCCAGGAACCAAGAGCTTGATCCAGGTGTCCCACCCAGTTGACTGGGCCCAAATAGGCGATTTGGTAGGAAGTTGCATAGCAGTGGAGCAGCTGGGACAGAAAGTAGCACACGTATGTGGTGCTGGCATCACAGATGGCAGTTTTATGTGCTCTACCACAACACCAGCCCCAGTATATTCTCTATAAGATGTGATGAAATCTTAAAAATTCACATAGGAAAGATATTTGGGGCATCTGGTCTAATCAGTCATTTACAGGTGTCTAAGTAGGCCCAGAAAATACATAATGAACAGCTGTTTTTTTTAATTTAAAAAAAATTTGCTAATGTATTTACAAGTCAAAGTTATATGTAGAGAGAGGAATGGTAGAAAGAGACATCTTTCATCTACTGGTTCATTCCCCAAATGGCTTCCATGTGTTACAGCTGGGCTGGTCCAAATCTAGTAGCCAGAAGCTTCTCCCTCATCTCTCATGTGTGTGTAGGGGCTCAAGTACTTGGGTCAACCTCTGCTGCTTTCCCAAACACATTTGCTAAACGCCAGATTGGAAGTGAAGCAGCCAGGACTTGAACTGGTACTCATGTGCGATGCCTGCGCCATAGGCAGTGGCTTTACTCACTATACTGTAGCACCAGTCCTGATGAACTGCTTTTTACCACCAATTTGTGAATTCTTTGGATGTTTTTAGAGAAGTTAGCAGTGTAACACACACTATACTCAGGTTTTTCTATTTTTCTATTATATAAAGCTTCTTTGAAAGTAAGATAGAGAGATTCAGAATTGATAAAACTTTCTGAGTGGCTAGGTTCAAATCTAGCAGTTACAACAAATCTTATGATGTGCTTCTGAGCAGGAGTTTAATTTTGTTAATCCCCAACTCTTTGATTATGGTTTCCGCTTTTCCCTTGGCTGTCAGTCTACTTTGAATGTTATCTTGCTTTCTAAAAAGATACTGGATAAGATGCATCATTTAGAAAATGAGGCAGTTTCTCTCTTGTCTTGGAATCCACTGTCATTGTTTTGGTTCATATGCTCATACTGAGAGTAGACTTGTGAATTCTTAATTTAAGGAAAGTCTTGTAAATTAATTGGTGAGGAATAGATTTATATTTAGATACCTCAACAATAAAATCTTTGTTGATTTTTCTACTATAAAGTGGTTCTATAGTGAAAGTATTTATTATAATTAATGATGTTATAGGAAGTTTTAGTCTCAAAAGAATGTTATATAAAACATTGACAAATTGAGAAGGAAAAAGAGATGATAGAATTGGCAATTCTTAATACTTTTTAAAAATACAAGTTTATGCAAGTATTAGAGACAGACGCCTTTTCACAAATACCTTGGTAAGTAGCAAATTGAGCTAATTTATGAATCAGCAAGTTCCTTATATTTAGAATAAAAGGAATCTGGTTTAATGAATTGTTCATTTGCTATCGACATCAATTAAGATTAAATCTGTTTATAACTTGTGACTTAGTAGTAAGATTGATAACCTGCTTACACCACTTCTCTGGTTAGTTCAAATGTCTCAGAGTTCAGTGAGCTGCTTCTGATGTCTCACGAGTGAATTTTCTATTCAGTAAAACTTTATTAGTTTACTTTGACAAAACAGATAGAAAATATAGGATACAGAGCTACCCAGGAGCTTTGAGCGTAGGTTGTTTGTTGTAAGCACTCTGTACAAATTTATTCACAAGCAAAATTATAAATTGAAAAGATGGTACGATTTACTAGAAGCAGGTTCTAGTAAATTGAATGTTGGTGTTGGCGGCAAGACAACTAAATTCCTTTTTTCCTTAAAGTTCTTTTGACTATAGGAAACATTTTTTTGCTCTCCTAAAGTTGTAGGGAAATTAATTTTATACGTTATTGTTCAGTTGAAAATCTCTTGATAGAATATTGATTTTTGCACCAAAAAATAACTAGATGTTCTTTCAAGTGGAATATTATTATTTTTTCTTTCTTTGAGGCAACTTTTTTGTTGAAAAGAAACTGAGCACAATTAAGATGCCTTATTGACTCAGTAGACCCAAGTCTAGTTCAGAACAAAATGGCCTATATTAAATTATATTCAGCTTAGTTAAGACCTGACCTGCACAGCTAAATATATGCTCTTCATTGTTTAATTTCTATATGCAGTTAAAAGTAGCCCTCGAAAACCTCGCGGGAGACCTAGAAGTGGCTCTGACCGAAATTCAGCTATCCTCTCAGACTCATCTGTGTTTTCCCCTCTCAATAAACCAGAGACCAAATCTGGAGATAAGATCAAGAAGAAAGATTCCAAAAGTATAGAAAAGAAGCGAGGAAGACCTCCTACTTTCACTGGAGTAAAAATCAAAATAACCCACGGAAAGGACATTTCAGAATTACCAAAGGAAAACAAAGAAGAGAGCCTGAAAACAATTAAACGGACACCTTCCGCCACATTTCAGCAAGCCACAAAGATTAAAAAACTCAGAGCAGGTAAACTCTCTCCTCTCAAGTCTAAGTTTAAGACAGGGAAGCTTCAAATAGGAAGGAAGGGGGTACAGATTGTCCGCCGGCGAGGAAGGCCTCCCTCCGCCGAAAGAATCAAGACCCCTTCTGGTCTCCTCCTTAATTCTGAACTGGAAAAGCCCCAGAAGGTCCGCAAAGACAAAGAAGGCACACCTCCACTCACCAGGGACGACAAGGCCGTCGTCAGACAGAGCCCGCGAAGGATTAAGCCCGTCAGGATTATTCCTTCTTCTAAAAGGACAGATGCAACCATTGCTAAGCAACTCTTGCAGAGGGCGAAAAAGGGGGCTCAAAAGAAAATCGAAAAAGAAGCAGCTCAGCTGCAAGGAAGAAAGGTGAAGACTCAGGTCAAAAACATTCGACAGTTCATCATGCCTGTGGTCAGCGCCATCTCCTCTCGCATCATCAAAACCCCTCGGCGGTTTATAGAGGATGAGGATTACGACCCTCCCATTAAACTTGCCCGACTAGAGTCTACACCGAATAGTAGATTCAGCGCCACATCCTGTGGATCTTCTGAAAAATCAAGCGCAGCTTCTCAGCACTCCTCACAGATGTCTTCAGACTCGTCCCGATCCAGCAGCCCCAGCGTCGATACCTCCACGGATTCTCAGGCTTCCGAGGAGATCCAGGGTCTTCCCGAGGAGCGGAGCGATACCCCCGAAGTGCATACTCCACTGCCTATTTCCCAGTCACCAGAAAACGAGAGCAGTGACAGGAGGAGCAGAAGGTACTCCGTGTCCGAGCGAAGTTTCGCCTCCAGAGCGACTAAAAAGCTGTCGGCTCTACAAAGTGCCCCGCAGCAGCAGACCTCCTCGTCTCCACCTCCGCCTCTGCTCTCCCCACCGCCGCCGCTGCAGCCAGCCTCCAGTATCTCTGACCACACACCCTGGCTCATGCCTCCAACCATCCCCTTAGCGTCACCATTTTTGCCTGCTTCTGCTGCGCCCATGCAAGGGAAGCGAAAATCTATTTTGCGAGAACCGACATTTAGGTGGACTTCTTTGAAGCATTCTAGGTCAGAGCCACAGTACTTCTCCTCAGCAAAGTATGCCAAAGAAGGTCTTATTCGCAAACCAATATTTGATAATTTCCGACCCCCTCCACTCACGCCCGAGGATGTTGGCTTTGCCTCTGGCTTCTCCGCGTCCGGCACTGCTGCGTCAGCCCGACTGTTCTCACCACTCCATTCCGGAACAAGGTTTGATATGCACAAAAGGAGCCCTCTTCTGAGAGCTCCGAGATTTACTCCAAGTGAGGCTCACTCTAGGATATTTGAGTCCGTAACCTTGCCCAGTAATCGAACTTCTGCTGGAACATCTTCTTCCGGAGTGTCTAATAGAAAGAGGAAGAGAAAAGTGTTTAGTCCTATTCGATCTGAACCAAGATCTCCTTCTCACTCCATGAGGACAAGAAGTGGAAGGCTTAGTACTTCTGAGCTGTCACCTCTCACTCCCCCGTCTTCTGTCTCTTCCTCATTGAGCATTTCTGTTAGTCCTCTTGCCACTAGTGCCTTAAACCCAACTTTTACTTTTCCTTCTCATTCCCTGACTCAGTCTGGGGAATCAGCAGAGAAAAACCAGAGACCAAGGAAGCAGCCTAGTGCTCCGGCAGAGCCGTTTTCATCCAGTAGTCCTACTCCTCTCTTCCCTTGGTTCACCCCAGGCTCTCAGACTGAAAGAGGGAGAAATAAAGACAAGGCCCCCGAGGAGCTGTCCAAAGATCGAGACGCTGACAAGAGCGTGGAGAAGGACAAGAGTAGAGAGAGAGACCGGGAGAGAGAAAAGGAGAATAAGCGGGAGTCAAGGAAAGAGAAAAGGAAAAAGGGATCAGAGATTCAGAGTAGCTCTGCTTTGTATTCCGTGGGTCGGGTTTCCAAAGAGAAGGTTGCTGGTGAAGATGTTGCCACCTCATCTTCCGCCAAAAAAGCAACAGGGCGGAAGAAGTCTTCATCACTCGATTCCGGGACTGACATTGCTTCTGTGACTCTTGGGGATACAACAGCTGTCAAAACCAAAATACTTATAAAGAAAGGGAGAGGAAATCTGGAAAAAAACAACTTGGACCTCGGCCCAACTGCCCCATCCCTGGAGAAGGAGAAAGCCCTCTGCCTTTCCACTCCTTCATCTAGCACTGTTAAACATTCCACTTCCTCCATAGGCTCCATGTTGGCTCAGGCAGACAAGCTCCCAATGACTGACAAGCGGGTTGCCAGCCTCCTAAAAAAGGCCAAAGCCCAGCTCTGCAAGATTGAGAAGAGTAAGAGTCTTAAGCAAACTGACCAGCCCAAAGCACAGGTACTGTTTTCTACGTTGTCTTTTAAAACCAGCAGTTTATCAGGTCTCTTCTATGACCAAGTTTAGGGCAAAGTGCTTCAGTTACATCTAGTTAGGGAAATTGCGAAAAGCCTTGTGGAGGTGGTGCTATTAGCAGTGCAGTCCTCAGGAATGACAGGATTGTAGTAAGTACATTCCAAATTAAGGGAATAGTGTGACTGGAGATCAAAAAATAGGAAATCTAATTAAGGAATAATAAATAGCTGGATCGATTCATATGAGAATGATAAACTAAGGCCAAAACATGAGTTGGGGATGGCTGTGTAATAAGATATAACACATCTTATATATTATATTATTATAATATAATCTTATTATGATATATAATAAGATGCATATTTATGCCATTGTAACAAGTTAGAGTAAGATGGCTTCAAACTTAAATTTTTAATGTTATTCAACCTAGGGCCATATCTGCAGTTAGTAATTTTACCAGTTGAGTGTTGTAGCAGGAATGTGGTGTCACTTATTTCATAGACCAATGTTGGGTATTTTTTTATTAGACTCATACTGATGGGAACAGTGACTGATTCAAATGGGAGACATTTCTGTTTTGAACCATGCTGTTTTAAATTACATTTATGGGCTGAATCTACATATTTCCGTATGGAACAAGGAAATATAATAGTCTGTGGCTTAGTAATCTCTATTCATAAGCTAACATTAGACTAAACTTTTGTTAATATGAAGTTACAGCTTGAAGTTTTTAAAAAGATTTATTTATTTATTTGAAGGGCAGAATTACAGAGAGGTATCTTCTATCTGATCCACTTGTTCCTTCCCTCAAATGGCCGCAACAGCCAGGGCTAGGCTAGGCTGACGGAGTCAGGAGCTTCATCCAGGTCTCCTGAACAGGTGGCAGGGCCCAAGGACTTGAACCATCTTCTACCACTTTCCCTGGTGTATTAGCAGGGAGCTAGTCAAAAGTGGAACAGCAGGACTTGGGCCAGAGCCCGTATGGGATGCTGGCATTGGAGACAGTGGCTTAATCCCATATGCCACAGTGCCCGTCCCTACAAGTTGAATTTAGAGGGAAATTTTAAAGAAGCAGTAAAATTGAAAATAACCTAGTTGTTTTCTATTTTTTGACTGGAGACTTTTTTGCTCTCTATTTTAGGAAATAGAAGTAGTTTATTTCAGTATATTGATATCATTTATTGTGATCCTATATTAGTAACAATGGACCAAATATACCTTTGTTTAATTCAATCGTATTGCCAGCATACATGGTTGTTACTGTTTGTTTTGTTTGTTTTCTGGCTTGCCTTGTATTCAGGGTCAAGAGAGTGATTCATCAGAGACCTCTGTGAGAGGTCCCCGGATTAAACATGTTTGCAGAAGAGCTGCGGTTGCCCTTGGCCGTAAACGAGCTGTGTTTCCTGATGACATGCCCACCCTGAGTGCCTTACCATGGGAAGAACGAGAAAAGATTTTGTCTTCCATGGGGAATGATGGTAGGTCTGGGGAGATCGGCTTTGGAATCCAAGTAGACCTCTGATTTGTTTACTTATCTTTCTGGAGGTGACAAGTAGGCACTCCATGTTTAGTCCAGTTCTTCTGTGAAACAGATATGGGAGGGGACTAAGTGCTTGAGGAGGAAATTCCAAAGAACAAAAATGGGGACATGGCCAAGGAAGACTGGGGAATTGTGAGACTGTGATGAAAGCCTGACCCCTGTGAAGGAGAGAAGGGTGGAAGATTGGATGCAACCTTTCTTAGACTGCCATGAGCTGTATCAGAAGAGCCTCGTCTTCAGGGGTCAGCCTACCTTTGTGTCACTGCTGCTCTGAGTCACTGCCTGGGAGCAACCCGTGGAAACAGTGGCTTGTCTGCATTGCTGGCTGTCAGAGCTCAACAGCTGAGAGCCTTGGTCATTTAGGTTTCCTGGAGGTCGACGTTTAAGGCACATTCTCATGGCTGCCATGTATATAGTTAGTGGGTTTTTGTTGTTGTTTAAAGATTTAATTCTTACTTATTTGAGAGGCAGAGTTACAAAGAGAAAGTAAAAGAGAGGAAAGAGAGATCTCCCATCTGCTGGCTCACTCCACAATTGTCTGCAGTGGTTAGCACTGTGCCAGGCTAGAGCCTGGAACTGAGAGCTACTCCCACATGGGTGCAGGAGCGCAAGGACTTGGGTCATATTCCAATGCCTTCCCAGGCACATTAGCAGGAAATCAGACCTGATATGGAGCAGCCATACCAGGTGGGTGCTGGTATTGCAGGCAGCAGTCTAACACTCTATTTTATGATGCCAGCCCCTGCCATATAGTTATAAAATGCTAGGTAGATACTCAAAGTAAATTTAGACATTTAGAGAAAAGATAGAAGATTTCAGTTCATCTTTTTTTTTTAAGATTTATTTTATTGCAAAGTTAGATATACAGGGAGGTGAGACAGAGAGGAAGATCTTTAGTTTGCTGACTCACTTCCCAAGCGGCTGCAGCGGCTGTAGCTGAGCTGACCAAAGCCAGGAGCCAGGAGCTCCTTCTGGATCTCCCACGTGGGTGTAGGGTCCCAAGGCTTTGAGCCATCCTCTACTGCTTTCCAAAGTCACAAACAGGATGCTGGATGGTAAGTGGGGCTGCCGGGACGTGAACTGGTGCCCATATGGGATCTCGGATTGTGCAAGGCAAAGACTCTAGCCACTAAGCTATTGCTCTGGGCCCTCAGTTCATATTCTTATTTTATATTGTTTGCTTTTTAAATTTGGATTTGAGCCTTCGCCAACGTTTAGATTATGGGCATTTTTAAATATTTAAGTAGTTCTTTAGGGCCCAGCATATTAATGTAGCAGTTAAAATCCTTGCCTTGAAAGCACCAAGATCCCATATGGGTGCCAGTTCTAATCCTAGCAGCTCCACTTCCCATCCAGCTCCTTGCCTGTGGCCTGGGAAAGCAGTTGAAGATGGCCCAAAGCCTTGGGACCCTGCACCCACGTGGGAGACCTGGGAGAGCTCCTGCCTCCTGCCTTTGGATTGGCTCATCTTCAGCCGTTGCAGCCACTTGGGGAGTGAACCATCGGATGGAAGATCTTCATCTCTGTCTCTCCTCCTCTCTGTATATCTGACTTTATAATATAAATAAATAAATCTTTAAAAGAAAATTTAAGTAGTTCTATAAAGCAAGCCCTGAATTCTACATATAAACCACTTTATTATAATGTATTCCATTTTTGGAGTCCAAATTAAAATCAAGTGTTGAATGACTCTAGTGATGTATAGGGACTGCAAGATGTCCCCCTTACTCCTGAGAAGGGCTTAGCTACTCCTGCTGAACTAATGACATCTTTCCCAAACAGACAAGTCATCGATTGCTGGCTCAGAAGATGCTGAACCTCTTGCTCCTCCCATCAAACCAATTAAGCCTGTTACCCGAAACAAGGCACCTCAGGAACCTCCGGTAAAGAAAGGACGGCGATCAAGGCGGTGTGGGCAGTGTCCTGGCTGCCAGGTGCCTGAGGACTGTGGTGTTTGCACTAATTGCTTAGACAAGCCCAAGTTTGGTGGCCGTAACATAAAGAAGCAGTGCTGCAAGTGAGTGGTGCCTTGCTCCGAGGTGTTGACCTCTCAACCTGAAGGGTGCTTGTTTTTCCCTGGTTTGTTGCAGAGATGTCTCAGGAAGCTGAATGTGGTTATATCAGATCTCCTGGGAGTTGCAAGATTACTTGCAGAGCTGGATTCTGTGATGTGGTTAGAAGTGGGCTGTGCTCTTGGGCAGTACTGTTTGCTTGAACATTCTACAATAATGAATATGTTCTGTATATGCCCAGGGTAGTCTGGCAGCCATTAGCCACAGTGTGGCCATTGAGCATGTGACATGTGGTTAATGTGACTAAGAAACTATGCTTGATACTTAATTTTACCATGTCAGGGCAATTCTTGAGTTCTGCCAAAAACTTAACCAATTGAGGCATAATATTTCTTTGGGTCAAGCGAAATCAGTTTTACCTTTATGGTACTTGGGACACTTTTGAGATATTTGTATAAATCTCTGTATTCTCCGACTCCCTCTTAGAATATTATTATGTTTATGAAACTTTTGCTATTTAATTTTTCATTTCTATGAGCATGTTTTTAAAAAGGGCATGGATTTTTCATTTGAAATACAGAGACAGAAAGATAGAGATCTTCTGTTTGCTGGTTTACTCCTTAAATGCCCGCAGTAGCTGGGCCTAGGCCAGACCAAGCCAGGAGGCTGCAGCTCAGTGTGGATCTTGCCTTTGCATGGCACTGACCCATGCATGCAATCCATTATCTGCTGCCTCCCCAGATGTGCATTAGCAGGAAACAAGAATGGGACGTGGAGTCAGGACTTGGACTAGGCACTCCAGAATGGGATGTTGCTGTACCACATGACATGTTAATTGCCTTAGACACGTGCCCCCTGTGGGTCAGAAGGATTTCATAAACAGAAATTTTGGTGGGTGAGCATTATGCAAAGTACTGTACAAGGAATAGATATTTTCCATACATATTTGCTGAATGATTGACTAAATGAATGACACTAGTTATTAAAAAGCTTAATCGGGAGAAATGCTGCATTATTTAGTTCATGGGAGACAATCTCCAGGAGATGATCAGTGCTTTTGTGCTTTGATTTGATTGGGTCTTAGCAAGAATCCTGTCTTTCTAGCAGAAGATGTGAGACAGTTCACAGATCCCGTATGGACAAGTGATAGCAAGCTAAAATTGCACTAAATGTAAGGGTTGAAATGGTGAAATTTTGGCTTCAAACTAAATTTGAATTTCATTACATTTAAATTAAAGGGTGAATACCATAAATTAGAGCCATCAGGTATACCTACCTATAGCATTGTAGTGGTAGACAAAGGCCTTTCTGGATAATTTGAGCATACATTATGACTGTTAATATCATAACAAACAGTGCTGATTTGACCCCAAGAAGTACTAAGTGATCATTTGTGTGTGGTGCTGGTCAGGATTGGTTTATAAGAAATTTGAGCTCCATTTCAGAATATTTTGTTAGTTGTTCCTTCTAGATCCTCAGGGTGGAAAAAAATTGCTATTTGAGGATCTGCAGGTTCAAATGTAACCTGACTGACAAGCAGATTTTTGCAGCTGTCAAAATGAGCCTGAATAAAAATTCACTGATACTTGCAGACAAGAGACCACTTGTTTCAATGACTTCTCTCATAAATGTAACTTACACAGTTTATTCTTTATCTTAGGATGAGAAAATGTCAGAATCTGCAATGGATGCCTTCCAAAGCCTATCTTCAAAAGCAAGCTAAAGGTAGTGTTGTTTAAAAGGGAATTCCCTAAATGCTTCCTGTGTTAGTGCTGTGTAGTCATGAACATGCAGCAACAGAGAATACTCGCGTTTTTAAGTATTACTCTTCCCAGTGAGTAGTTGAAGCAGGGTGACAGATGCCTGAGGGTTCATTCCGCTATATATTTTGGGTTACATTTCAAAATTTCTATAAGTTCTTAAAATTTGTCAAAGAATTATAGTTTATCTTACTCCTTAGAGGAATAAAAGTATGCATGTTTCATCTGCTTAGCTTGACATTAACTTTTTTGAGCCTTTCAGTACCAACTTTAACTGCAGAAAGCTGAGAATGAGATTATGTCATGTATCTATTCTTGTATCCTACTTTACTTTTTTGGATATTTACTTATTTGCTTGAAGAACCAGGGTGACACAGATCTTTCATCTGCTGGTTCCCTCCTCAAATGGCTGTAGCAGCCAGGATCAGACCCAACTAACACTAGGAACTCCATCTGGGCCTCCCATGTGGGTGACAAGGACCCAGTATTATCTTCTGTTACCTTCCCAGGCGCATTAGCAGGGAGCTGGATCACAAATGAAGCAGCTGCCACTGGAATTGGTACTCTGAATGGGATACTGGGTGTGGAAGGCAGCAGCTTAGCTTACCATGCCACCCCAAACATCTATTTTAAATAGATAGATAACCTAATAGAAAATACTATTTTTTCCCTCTCAGCTGTGAAAAAGAAAGAGAAAAAGTCCAAGAGCAGTGAAAAGAAAGAGAGCAAAGAGAGCAGTGTGGTGAAGAACGTGGTGGACTCTACTCAGAAGGCTACCCCTCCAGCAAGAGAGGAGCCTGCCCCAAAGAAAAACAGTAGTGAACCTGCTCCCCGAAAGCCCACGGAGGAAAAGAGTGAAGAAGGGAACAGCTCTGCCCCGGCACCAGAGTCCAAACAAAGCACCACCCCAGCTTCCAGGAAGTCCAGCAAACAGGTCGCCCAGCCAGCACCCACCATCCCCCCTCAGCCCCCCAGCACGGGACCACCGAGGAAAGACGTTCCCAAGACCACTCCTAGTGAACCCAAGAAGAAGCAGCCTCCACCACCACCACCACCAGAAGCAGGTGAGTAGTTAGGGAGACAAGGACTCGCCAAGGCACCTGTGGCTCAAATGGCATTTAGGAACTAGAACTGGGTAACTTGAAGTGTTCCATTCCAGAACATTAGCTGCCTTCTATATAATAAAGAAATGAAATTTTTAAAAATATATACACACTCAGTAAATTGGAGATAATGTGTTAATGTTCTCTTTGAAACCTTGTGTGTGTTGGTTTTTCTAATGTCCCTCACTTCAGAGGCCACTGAGTCTCACAGTAGTTGCTGTCAGCTTCTGACCACAATCTCCTTTGAATTGTTTAGGTCCAGAGCAAAGCAAGCAGAGAAAAGTGGCTCCCCGCCCGAGTATCCCTGTGAAACAAAAGCCAAAAGAAAAGGTGAGGGGGACAGATGTGTTTCTCTGCCACCTCTCAGGGCTGTGTCCTGTTCCATGGGGAAAAGCTCGACATTTCTGTGACCAGGTGAAACCTCGTGCTGATAGCAGTGGGGTTCCTGAAGATGAATGAACTTTTGGTTTGGTCTTGGAGCCCCTTGTCTTTTTCCGTCTCTTTCCCTCATTGTTTTTTCCCTTGTTGCTCTACAGGTTCCTAGCCTAGGAATGTGCCTCCTGCACAGACCACTTGGCCTGCTTGTTTTTTGCCTCATCTCACAGGATTTGTTTGTAAAAAATGGATTTCCCAGGGTCCACTGGTTTTATTTGCTATGGCTAGAAGGAGAGAGGGGCTTTAACAATCCCCAAGTGACTTTTTGGTTGGGACGCTTAGGTTGGGAACATGGTTTCCAGATCTGTTGATGAGGTTTGTCTTTTGCATTACCCAGCCGGCCTATTGGACGTGCTTTTGTCCTCTTAACTGTCTTGTGTCTCCTTAGGAAAAACCACCTCCCGTCAGTAAGCAGGAGAATGCCAGCACTTTGAACATCCTCAGCACTCTGTCCAATGGCAATAGTTCTAAGCAGAAAGTCCCAGCAGATGGAGTCCACAGGATCAGGGTGGACTTTAAGGTAAATGTGTTTAGTGATCACACTCTGCAAGGGCGCTTCAGAAAGTTTGTGGGAAAATGGAATTAAAAGACAAGCTGATTTTGGTGCACATATATTTGAAAATCCTTGCAAAGTACATATTTTCCACAAACTTTTTTAAAGACCCTTAGTACAGAGATGTTAAAGAAAATGGGGTGACCAAAGGTGTTGAAAGAAGCAATCAGCATCGACTGAGGAGTGTTTAAGCAGGATGGCAGCAACTGGGCTCGGGTGGGAGAGAGTTTGTTGAGATTTGGAGGCCTTGGTGTCTGAAGTGACTTTCATTGAAACGCTCCTGGCCACCCCACGCACTGTCTGAAGAAATGATTCTCTCACGTGAGAACAGTTAAGCCATGGTGATTGCTTGAGTTAACAAAAGCTGTAAAGGAAATTCAGTCCCACTGTATCTTTGCAGTACATTTAATATGAATTGAACCCATATGTGAGTCTCATATAGTTTGTGTCTGAGATTAAGATTTTTTAGAAGCAGTTATTTCAGGATTCATTGAATACTCTTAACATTCTGGTGTTGCTTCTGGTGATTTTATACTTTTCATCCTTATTTTCAACCCCAGGCTGTGTCATTTTAAAACTCTCCTAAGTGATCTTTCTCTCTTCCCAGGAGGATTGTGAAGCAGACAATGTGTGGGAAATGGGAGGCTTAGGAATCCTGACCTCTGTTCCTATCACACCCAGGGTGGTTTGCTTTCTCTGTGCCAGTAGTGGGCATGTAGAGGTAAGGCATCTTTGTATCCAAAAAGAGTATATAGTAATGGATTATTTTACTGAGGAAGAAAGAAATTATTATGTTTTGTTGGTATTTAGCAAGTACTATCCCATTTAAACCAACTAAGGAAATGTTTTTGAAGTTTTAGATTTCAGGAAAAAATCTATGCATTTGAGTAGCAAAGTTACCACATGAGATACATTTAGCAGTTGAGGCCTTTGTTGAGGTGCAACACATTAAGCTGGCATCCCATATATGAGTGTTGGTTTGAGTCCCTGCTGTACCACTTGTGATCCAGTTCCCTGCTGGTGTACCTGAGAAAGCAACAGCTGATGGTTACAGTGCTTGAGGCCCTGCCATCCATATGGGAGACCTAGATGGAGTTCCAGGCTCCTCGCTTTGGCATTAGCAAGAAGTTGGAATTGGAAGCAGAACCAGGAGTCAAGCCCAGGCTTTCCAATATGGGACACAGATTCCCAAGCGGCATCTTAGTCACTGCACTTAGCACCTGCCTCGTTAATGCATTGTCAGCGAAAAATGTTCCTATGGACTCCTAAAACGCAAAGTGCATAACTAGGGTAGAGTTGATATTTTCTCTCTATACACTGTGTGACAGACATACTTCTCTGTTTCCATCTTTTTAGTTTGTGTATTGCCAAGTCTGTTGTGAACCCTTCCACAAGTTTTGTTTGGAGGAGAACGAGCGCCCTCTGGAGGATCAGCTGGAAAACTGGTGTTGTCGTCGCTGCAAGTTCTGTCATGTTTGTGGGAGGCAGCATCAGGCTACAAAGGTACCACCCGCTTGGAGTATTAGTCTGTCTCCACTCTTTATTACTGACTTCTACCTTAGGATTTTTCATGCATATTCTTTTTTTTTTTACTGAGTTATCAGACTTTTGAATGTAATCAACTGCCCATTTTTGTGTTTTAATGTTGGGAATATAAACAGCAGATAAAATTGCAAGTTTGCTTGATGAGAATACTCATCCCTAGATGCCTTGCCTTTGTCAGGAAATAACTCTTGAGTTTTCACTGGAGGAGAACAAGGTCACATGAAATTTGAACTACTATAGTGGTGTGCTACTTCCTGAGGAGAGATATGAAATGGCATGTCAAATAGCTGATGTTTAGTCAGAGTGAAGAGATACCCACCTTTTTGCTGTTGTTTTCTCTTACAGCAGCTGCTGGAGTGTAATAAGTGCCGAAACAGCTATCACCCCGAGTGCCTGGGACCAAACTACCCCACCAAACCCACGAAGAAAAAGAAAGTTTGGGTGAGTACCCACTTAGGCTGATTTAAAGAGAATTGTCATGAAATGGTTTGGCTTGCACAACTTATCATGGGAATTTCCTTGCTTAAGGATATCAATATAACAGCTTTTTTGGGGGTCTTATTATAAGGAAATGTCTCATAAGGAAGTCAGCTATAGAAATGGATTGTGGTTGAGATCTTGTCAAGAAGAGATACCAAAAATAAATTCCTACTGAATTTTTCTCTTTTATCAGATCTGTACCAAATGTGTGCGCTGCAAGAGCTGTGGATCCACAACTCCAGGCAAAGGGTGGGATGCACAGTGGTCTCACGACTTCTCACTGTGCCATGACTGTGCCAAGCTCTTTGCTAAAGGTACTCCTGAAGCTACTTGTGTCTGACTACTGTATTCCTGCCTCTGTTCCCTGCATATTTAGCAGACAAGAGTAAAATTTGGTAATTCTTGGGTAGATTTTATTACAGCTGCTTACACAGAAATGCCGAGTAGAGCCAAGTGTAGCAAGCACACATCTCCTTCACACTTGATCTTAGCCAAAAGGCCAAGAAGCAGTGCACACATTTCCTCATTTCAGAAACATGTTGATAGGGAACTCACACATTTTAAATCATGCTGGAATACGAATTGTAATCAACACATATTAACCCATAGTTTACTGACCTAAGCTAAGACCATATAAAGTCCAAATCCTTTGTAGACCAATTTAAAGAAGTTCATTAAGTAGAAACATAGTCTTGGGGATACAGGGATAAAGCAAGTCACGAAGGCTTGCTGAATTTTCAGAGGTGCTGCCCTAAGCTGTTAGAGTAGAAACAATCCAAGTGAGGAATGGGATTCAATGAACTGCTTCTTACTCCCAAATGCCACTTCATTTAAAATTTTTAAAAGTTTCTTTTTGATGTTTAACAGAGTTTGTTCTTCCATTCTTTTTCCATTATGTTGAAAATCTACATCATGACCTGTTATAGATGGGTCTCAAGAAGACAGTGGCATGTCTGAATCTTTATGCCGTTCTGCAGGTGTGTTTGTGTTCCATAGTTAACTGATGTGCTGGCACTTGTGAGGGAGTCCAGAGGATAGGTTTTTGGATCAGGTTGGCAAGGGTGCGTAAGTCAGGGGCTTCTGAAGTGTTGGTGTATGGACTCATAGCACTGCTGCAAATTTTGCTTTCAGGAAACTTCTGCCCGCTCTGTGACAAGTGTTATGATGACGATGACTATGAGAGTAAGATGATGCAATGTGGGAAGTGTGATCGCTGGGTCCATTCCAAATGTGAGAATCTTTCAGGTACAGAAGGTTGGAGTCTTTTTTATTACAGTTTCCTTCTCCCTAGGTCTGCTACACGTACAGCCCCCAGAGCACTAGAACTCTAAAGTTATGGTAGTATTGTCACTTGAAGTCTTTTCAAGTGTTTTTCTTGACCTGTAGCATGGGTGACATTGAGTTAAGTTTATACTCATTTATCTTGAATACCTCCTTTGATTTATTTGCTGTCCTTGTCAATTCTCTGTTAACCAAATCCTGGGTTAGTGTTTAATAGTGTCCCTTTTGGAGATAATATGTATGATATCCTACAAGTTACTAATCAGTGCAATTGCTTACGTGCAGCTTTTAGAGTGATTTCAGTTACCTCTTCTCCCAGTCCCTCTTCCCTGAGGACATGCTCATTGTAGATTTGCTTGTCCTAGATGAGATGTATGAGATTCTATCCAACCTGCCAGAAAGTGTGGCCTACACTTGTGTGAACTGTACTGAGCGGCACCCTGCAGAGTGGAGACTGGCCCTGGAGAAAGAGCTGCAGATTTCTCTGAAGCAAGTTCTGACAGCCTTGTTGAACTCTCGGACCACCAGCCACTTGCTTCGTTACCGGCAGGTAGGCCTGTGGTCTGATTTGTTTCTGAAAGTGTTGTTCTCAGGTGCTTTTTTCTAAGTGATGTGATGGAGGGAGGAAGTGCTTACTCTTGATTTAGTTTCATGGAATTATTTTGGCCATAGCTATTAGGAAAATGTTTAGAGCCAGGAATGGGACTTTGGAATAAGAAAGGTAGAGGCTTATATCTTTGAAAGCTCAGCTGTTAGAAGAAACTTGGTGTTTATATTCTGAAGGTGATGGAAACCCAATGAAGAGAGTAAAATGATCAGAGTTACTTCTGATGGGGGGAGTGCGAAAGAGGACATTATCCCACCCTGCCTGAGTGGAGGTGAAGTGTGGGAAAGACTTAGCTAGAAGCAAGAACAGTGGTTAGAAGGCCTTTATAGTAATCAATTTGAAAACAACTACTTTCTGTCTCTGTGAATTGGGAACTCCACATCTATAAAGTACTTTTTGGAAATATGAAATATGGTGTTAGAACTTAATGTCAGAATTAGGGTGCTGTTTCATCTTTTAATAGAGCTCTGTTTTTTGAGTTGGGAAACTACCTGCTGTGTAAGCAGCACTCTGGAGGAACTGGACATGGTTTCAGCTGCTCCATGTCAGTTGGGAAGTTCTCAAGCAGACCTCCAAAGTCAGCCAAGCCAAGCTCTTAGATACAGGCTCACTGAATTTTACTTTTCTATTTGAACAATCTCTATTTTCATACTCTTCCAGTTTTATGCTATGAATAATTCATATTAGGCTGATTTTCATAAAATTTGGATAAAATCCTCATTTTCAGTGTTGGATAAAAGAAACTTATCTTTCCTGGTAACAGGCTGCCAAGCCTCCGGACTTAAATCCCGAGACAGAGGAGAGTATTCCTTCCCGCAGCTCCCCGGAAGGGCCTGACCCACCAATTCTGACTGAGGTCAGCAAGCAGGATGAACAGCAGCCTTTAGATCTGGAAGGGGTCAAGAGGAAAATGGACCAGGGAAACTACACATCCGTGGTATGTCCCCATGGCGCATGCCAGTGCCTCAAGCACCAAGTTAGCTTCCTTGGGTCTCTGGGGGATGAAGTTGGATGGAAGTAAACCAAAAAGTGATCTGTATTGCGTTTTGAAATGCCATGTGGCTTTAGATGCCTAAGCATTGAGTTACTTTAACTGTGTATTTCAGGATTATAATATGCTAATGTACTTAAGATGGTTGTTTTATTTTTATTTCATCTGAGTTCTCTGAAAATTATATGGAGAAAGCCAAAGAACTGTTTATGGGAGAATGTTAATATGAAGTTTGTTGGCTTTCCAATATGAGATGAGATCTGAATAATTCTTCCTGAGATATTCATTTGCAGATGGATACCTTTTAATTTTAGGATTTTTAGAATGTATAGGAGGTTCCGGCACGATGGCCTAGTGGATAGGGTCCTCACCTGGAGTGTGCCAGAATCCCACATGGGCGCTGGTTCTAGTCCCGGAGGCCCCACTTCCCTTCCAGCTCCTGCTTGTGGCCTGGGTAGGATGGCCCAGAGCCTTGGAACACTGCACCCACATGGGAGACTTGGAAGAAGCTCCTGGCTTTGGATTGGTGCAGCTCTGGCCATTGTGCTCACTTGGTGAGCGAATCATCGGACAGAGAATCTTCCTTTCTATTTTTCCTCCACCCCCCCCCTATATATATATATGACTTTGCAATAAAAATAAATTAATTAAGAAAAAAAAGAATGTATAGGAAATGTTCCTTCATTAATGCCCTCAATGTCCATATTTGCTACTCAGTTGATTTTTCATTTTAATAGAAATAAAAACTTGTTTTCCTAATTGGATACCTTGCTATGCTGCAGCTAATTTGTTTACATTCTTGCCTTGTTAGCCTGGCATCCCTTGATTGCCACAAGTTAATTGTGAACCAAATCCCAAAGGCCTCTGCCGAGGAGAAATTACACTGCATTAAAATAGGGTGTGAGTTTTCTATTAATGTGTGTGCTGAATGATTAAGGACGAAAGAGGAAGTAGCTTTGAGCTCATCGTATTCCATAATTAATGTTTTGTTTTTACATACAGTTGGAGTTCAGTGATGATATTGTGAAGATCATTCAAGCAGCCATTAATTCCGATGGGGGACAGCCAGAGATTAAAAAAGCCAACAGCATGGTCAAGTCCTTCTTTATTCGGGTGAGTACTGCTCATAGTTCATATCTCTAAAGCTCACCTGTGAATACAATAGGCTTGTTGTCTTCTGCTTTTGCTTTGCCCTGTATAGAACAAGCACATGATTAATTTGCTCCTCCAGTTTTGGGGAAGGAAGTTGATGAGGTTGCTAGACTGGATGGCTTTTTCCTTTGGTGGCCTGAAATTTTTGTCACTTTGACAGAGAAGTTGGTTTCTATATGGTTTCCAAAGAATATTTACTTTTTTTTTTTTTTTAGCAAATGGAACGTGTTTTCCCTTGGTTCAGTGTCAAAAAGTCCAGGTTTTGGGAGCCAAACAAAGTATCAAGCAAGTAAGTAGATTCAGTATTATGTTTTTCCTTGCTTTTTGTCCGGAGATCTGAGAGGTCTCACGTTTATAAATGGAGATTTCCTAAGAGATTTTTTTTATTATTTTTTACTTTTGATGTTGTTTACATAGTTGACAAAGATACATGCCCATGAGGACCACTGATTAGGGTAGGAAGAGTCAAGACATGGGGGAAGGTGGGTGGGACAAATGCTTCTAATTTTCCTTCTCTTTATGGAGGGATTTTAATATTAGAAATGACTCCATTGAAATTCCCTGTCAGTGCTAGTGTAGACACAAGATGCAATGTTTGCTGTTGTCTTTTGCCTTTTTTTCCTTTTACTTATCTGTTAGGTGTGTTTCAGGGAACTTGGTTTTAACTTGTAACAAATACGTGCCATAAAACTGTGTGGCAGTCTTGTTGTAATTGTGTCATATCTTACTCACTTCAAATGGTGCTCTCTGTTGCTCTTTATTCTCCATATTAACCTTAAATTGTTGTTCTAGTAGGTGTGTTTGATTTTTGCCAGAGTGATTTGTTTCTGGAAGTTTAACCTCAAGTCATTTATTGAGATTATATTGTTTTATAAGATATTAAACTCCTGTGTACCTAAGCAGTTCGCAAACTTTGTGATTTGTTCTTACATCCTGTGAATTGCCTATGCATGGGACCCCAACATGATAACATCAAGAATTTGATTGTTTTGTGCAGTTCTAGGTTTACTGTAGGAGTTCAATAAATACTTGTTGAATCGATTGTTTCCAGCAGTGGGATGTTACCCAACGCAGTGCTTCCACCTTCACTTGACCATAATTATGCTCAGTGGCAGGAGCGAGAGGAAAACAGCCACACTGAGCAGCCTCCTTTAATGAAGAAAATCATTCCTGCCCCTAAAGCCAAAGGGCCGGGAGAGCCAGACTCACCGACTCCACTGCATCCTCCGACCCCTCCAGTTCTGAGTAAGGCACCAGACTGAAAAGTCATTCTCCGTTTTCCTCTACATGTGAATGGCTGTCCTTGGGATTCTAAATTAATACACTGAGGCATCAAAGAGAAATTTCCAGGTCACCCTAAAATGTAATAAAATCGTTAGTGTTGTTTCCCTTGGAGTGTTAATACTTGAGTATTGTAATATAGATGATGAGGTATCACTTTTTGCAAGAGTTTATTTTATAAGCTCTAGGCTATTTAAGCTGAGTTTTTTTTTTTCCTTTTAGAAATCAGACCTATTAAAAAAAAAAAGAAGAAGAAGGAAAAACTAAGACATACTGTTGCCAATTTTAACTGTGTGTCTTTCGTGTTCCAAGGTACTGACAGGAGTCGAGAAGACAGTCCAGAGCTGAACCCACCCCCAGGAGTAGAAGACAATAGACAGTGCGCATTGTGTTTGATGTATGGGGATGACAGTGCTAATGTAAGTACTGGGGGGATACAGGGACCTAGTTATTATATGTCCCAACTTAGCTATTTATGCTTTGTGTCTACATGATGATTTGTGATACTTGGAGGTTATTATAAATGATTTAGTTGATCTAAAGATGGATTGTTGGGAATGGGCATTTAGCCTAGAGGGTGAGACACCCTCATCCCGCCTCATAATGCCTGGGTTTGATTCTCAGCTCTAGCTCCTGACTCCAGCATTTTGGGAGGCAACAGGTGATGGCTTGAGGCATTGCGTTCCTGATTGCACTGCTGACTCCCAGCTGGCCAGTGTGAGCATTTGGGGAGTGAACCAGTTGATGAGAGGTTTTCTGTCACTCTCTTTGCTGTTCAAATGATAAAGGAAAAAAATTGTTACAGTGATTTACCTTAAATTAACCTATTGATGTCTAACAATTTTTACTGGAAGTCCCCCCATAAGATTTGATGGAAGTCAGTAAAATGTAAGTTGCATAGTAAGTAGCTTGTGTTTAATGGAGGATGGCGGAATGGCCAAGAGCCCTGCTCTGACAGGCTGCCTGGATACATTGCTCCACTTCACCACCTGCTTGTTGATCTTGGCTTAACTTCCCTCATCTGCAATCTCATCTTTAAGATGAAGGTGCTGGTTTAGGGTGGTGGTGAAGATAAATGAAATGATGTATGTAAAATTTCTATTTAATGCCTGGCACACAGCAACTTCACAATTTTTTTTCAAGTTTTTTTTTAAAGATTTATTTATTTTCAGTGCAAAGTCAGATATATATAGAGAGAGAGGAGGGGAGATAGAGAAGAAGATTTTCATCCACTGATTTGCTCCTCAAACAGCCACAACGGCCGAAGCTGAGCCAATCTGAAACCAGGAGCCTAGAACCCCTTCTGGGTATCCCATGTGGGTGCAGGGTCCCAAGGCTTTGGGCCGTCCTCCACTGCTTTCCCAGGCCACAAGCAGGAGCTGGAAAGGAAGTGGGGCAGCCAGGACATGAACTGGCACTCATATGGGATCCTGGCACAGGCAGGGCAAGGACTTTAGCAACTAGGTGCCATGCTGGGCCCTCAAGTTTCTTACTGTGCCTTGCAGAAATGGCTTTCAAATATAATTTTAAAGAAGCCAGTATACATTTTTAGGAACACAACACTTTTTTATTGTCTAGATTTATAAAATATTCCCAGCTGATGGAAAACGTAATCTAGAAAAGAGGGAAGTTCTTTTTAAAATAAAATGTGATTTGTTGGGCCTGGCGTGATAGCGTAATGGTTAAGGTCCTCACCTTGAACTGCTGGGATCCCATATGGGTGCCAGTTCTAATCCCGGGGGCTCTACTTTCCATCCAGCTCCCTGCTTGTGGCCTGGGAAGGCAGTCGAGGACGGCCCAAAGCCTTGGGACCCTGCACCCGCGTGGGAGACCCAGAAGAGGCTCCTGGCTTCGGATTGGCTCAACTGTAGCTGTTGTGGCTGTTTGGGCAATGAACCATCAGATGATCTTCCTCTGTTTCTACTCTTCTCTATATATTTGCCTTTCCAATAAAAATAAATAAATCTTTTTAAGAATGTGATTTGTTTTTGTAAAATTGAACAATTGTGTTTAAATTATATCAAGAATCAAAATCTTTTTTATTTTCAGGACGCTGGTCGTTTGCTGTACATTGGCCAAAACGAATGGACACATGTAAATTGTGCTTTATGGTCAGCGGAAGTGTTTGAAGATGATGATGGATCCCTGAAGAATGTGCACATGGCTGTGATCAGGGGCAAGCAGCTGGTAAGAAGCTCGGGGTAGATGTTGTGAGCAAGATGCCCTCAGAGTTCTGGGGTTCTCTCTGTGGGCACATGTGGCCCCACCAGTCTTCCACCATACCTCCAGAATAGCTCTCTAACCACACAGAGGCACATGCCCTTCCAGCTCTCAGACGAGGGCTGCCATAAAAGTAGAAGATAAAGTGTTATCTGATGTAGGAGATAATTCCCATATACGAGAAAAGTGTTCATTTACTCAGAGATTTATCCAGAGTGATCTCTGAGATCTCAGGGGAATCAACATTCCACAAGAGAAAAACATGTGGTTCTGTATCTGTAGAGGGAATGTAGACAGTGGCTGTTAAGTGAAACCAGAAGTTTTGCAATAAAATTTTCAAAACCACACATTCAAGGTGGTAGAAAGTGGTAGGTTATTACAAACAAACAAAAGCTAGCACCGATAGCGCAACATTGAGAATTGTTTGGAGAACACAAACACAATGGGCAAGTTGTAGGAAAGTCCCGGAATCATGATAAATGTGTTAACCATTGAGTATAAAAACTAGAGAACTTTGGTGATTCCACTTAGAGGAGAGTCGCATTGGGATATAGTAACTTTCTCTCAGGATGGTGTTTTTAACCATGGGTCTTCAAAGGTTCATCATTTCTAAATCAGCTATACAGTTTAGGGGAAAAATGTTCAATGTGTGGCACAAATATTAGATCAAGCTGTAATTCTTTTTTGTAGATACAGTACCTTATGGACAATGGAGAGGGAAGAACGGAGGGGGCTTTTTGTCTCACATCATTTTCTCTGTGCTTCAGCAGGTTTCCAATAAACAAATGAATTGCAGGAACCCAAAATAAGGGTGATTTTGTAGAAGAGGTGGTGAATGTCTTAAAACATCTCAAAAGTCTGAACAAGACTCTTTTCTTTCTGGATTTTTAGAGATGTGAATTCTGTCAAAAGCCAGGAGCCACTGTGGGTTGCTGTCTCACATCTTGCACTAGTAACTATCATTTCATGTGCTCTCGAGCCAAGAACTGTGTCTTTCTGGATGACAAAAAGGTCTATTGCCAGCGACATCGGGATTTGATCAAAGGCGAGGTAAGAGAGCTTTAGTTGTCTTTTTTTTCCTCTTAGTAATAGACTTGACTTTTTTTAAAACTTTTGTAGAGCAGTTTGAGATTCACAGCAAGACTAAGGAGGGTGTAAAGCTATCCCATGCACCAGTCTTCATCAGTATTCCCTGCTGGTGGAACTGTTAAGAGTTGGTGCATCCTTATCACCAGAGTCCATCATTTACATAAGGGTTCGTAATGGGACGTGTCTACCATCACTGAGTCGGATGAGTATTTTCACTGTTCTTGAGGTCCTCTGTGTTCACCCATTTATTCTCCGCAGCCCTGGGCAGCCACTGGGCTTGACATCATCTTCATACTCTGGCCATCTCCAACAGTTTCATATACTCAAAATCATACAGTATGTAGCTGTTGAGGCTGCCTTAAGCTTAGCAGTACACATTTACATTTCACGGTTTATTCATTAGCTTTTTAAATTTTCTAGGAATTCTAGAGGAAAAAACTGAATAATAGCAAGAGAGTAAACTGTTTCGTCTTCCACCAAGGTTCCTAGCATCATGTCCTTTAATGAGAAAGTTAACTAGCAGAGCTCCTGCTAGTAATACAGAATGGTAATCTTTAGCTATGCCCCATCAGTACTATAATATACAGAGCAACAGCCTGTTGACAGCTACCATGGGTTTTTATTTAAGGTGGTTCCTGAGAATGGATTTGAAGTCTTTAGAAGAGTTTTTGTGGACTTTGAAGGAATCAGCTTGAGAAGGAAATTTCTCAATGGCTTGGAACCAGAAAACATCCACATGATGATTGGTATGACCTAGGCATTGGTTTAGGGGAAGGCTGTGTATATCATTGGGCCACCTTCTAACCCTCAGCTATAAAATGACCTTTCTCACTGTCTCCTCTAACCAGTTCTTCTCTCCTTGGTCAGGCTCTATGACGATTGACTGCTTAGGAATTCTGAACGATCTCTCTGACTGTGAAGATAAACTCTTTCCTATTGGATATCAGTAAGTAGCAAGAGGACAGCAGCCCCACAGTGTACGCTCCCTGGAGCATTGTGTTCTGTTAAATGTAAAGGCACCCTTGTCAGCTACTTTTAACTGCTGCTGCTTAAGTAATAACATGTTTTGCTAGTTCCCTGGCTCATCAGCTTGTAGATTGGGACTAAATTAGCATTTTTATATGAAGTAAATCCTGTTACAGAGTGAAAGTACATTTGGCATAATGTCACAATCATTTCCAAATAAAACCTAAATAGAAAGTACGCTCTTTTAGGATACTTCTTAATTCCACTCAAGTGAGTTCAAAAGTACAGATTATTTCTTTTCATTTTGTTTCTTTTTTTTTTTAATTTGTTCATTTCTCTGAAAGGTAGAGTTGTAGAGAGAAATCTTCCATCTGCTGGTTCATTCCCCATATGGCTGTAATGGCTGCAATGGTCAAGACTGGGCCAGGACAAAGTCAGGAATCTATATCTACATCCAGGTCTCTCACATGGCTGGAGGGGCCCCAACACTTCAGCCATCTTCGTTACTTTCCCAGGCCTATCAGCAGGGAGACAGATCTGAAGTGGAACAATTAGAACTCAAACCAGTGTTCAGTTTACTGGTGTTGCAGGTGGTAACTTAACACATTCTGCCATAGCACCAGCCCCCTAGATTGTTTCATTGCTTAACCACTTCATCCCCTGTCCTCACATCTTAAAGGTACTTCTGAAAATATAATTCCCTATAATAATGAGATTCTCCAGTCAGGATTTAGGATCTTTTCCTATATGAAACAAATTGTTCAAATGTCTAAAAACCTGACAATAAAAGTAAAAATTCTCCTTCTACCTCTCCCTCTTTTCAGCTTGTACCTCAGTTATTACTGCATGCCCACTCTGATGATGCAGTCTGCTGCACATTTAATTAGCTCTTTGCCTGCTTTGGGCTCCACTTTGTTCAGGAGATTTGAAGCAATTATACTCCCCTTGTCTCCAGGAGCATTTTTTCCCAAAAGAAACATCTTGCGTTTGCCCTGTGTTTTATGTTAGAGCCTCATTTTGTGCATAGTGGTCCCTCCTGATAACCAGTTTCTTACAGCAGTTAGCATTTTTGCGCCCCGCCCCCCCCCCCCCCAGGTTTTTGAAATCTTATCATGTTTGGGTATGATCCAATTGTTTTCAAAAGGCTAGGAAATACCAAGGACTAGAAAAAAGGTTGAAGCAAATTCTCTTAAGTGGGAGAGCCTCGGCTGAGACCAGAACTTCATGAACCTGAGTTTCTTTTGTCCTCCTCTTCATGATTTTTCCCCATCTGTGTGCAGGTGTTCCAGGGTGTACTGGAGCACCACAGATGCCCGCAAACGCTGCGTATACACCTGCAAGATAGTGGAGTGCCGCCCCCCGGTGGTGGAACCAGACATCAACAGCACAGTTGAGCATGATGAGAATAGGACCATTGCCCACAGCCCACCATCTTTCACAGGTTAGTCTTCTCTTGAAGCGAGACTTGAATTCAGTTTTTGGAAGATGTTTGAAAGATGAGGGAAAAGTAATTTACTTGCAAGGTTTCATTTGATTTCTAGTTTGGCCTTTACCTAATAGCTAATTTTGTATCAGTTCATTTGTTGATTTTAATTAGACTTTCTTAGTTAAGGGTTTTTATTTGCTATCACAGAGAGCTCATCTAAAGACAGTCAAAACATGGCTGAGATGATAAGTCCTCCGTCTCCAGACCGATCTGCCCATTCACAAGCTTCTGGCTCCTGTTGTTATCATGTAATCTCCAAAGTCCCCAGGATTCGGACACCCAGTTATTCTCCAACACAGAGATCCCCCGGCTGCCGGCCATTGCCTTCTGCAGGTAAAGGGCTTTGTCTGCCCACTGACCCAAGAAAGTCAGCCCAAAGATTAATATGTAATTCTTTCAGTCAGCTTTATCTTGATAACCTTTGCTAATTTGAAAACAGACTTTTCAGTTAGCAGTAAATATCAGTAGCTCAGACATAGAAACCAACAACTTCCACACATTTCTTTGGTCTGTAACATACTTTACTACTTTCTCTGTCTTGTTCAGGAAGTCCTACCCCGACCACTCATGAAATCGTCACAGTGGGAGATCCCTTACTCTCTTCTGGGCTTCGAAGTATTGGCTCCAGGCGTCACAGTACTTCTTCCTTGTCTCCCCAGCGATCCAAACTCCGTATAATGTCTCCAATGAGAACTGGGAATACTTACTCCAGAAATAGTGTTTCCTCAGCCCCAACCATCGAGACCACTTCAGATCTTGAGTCCAGTGCCAAAGCAGTTGATCATGCCTTAGGGTCACTGAATTCAAGTACTAATTTGGGGCAAAACACTCCATCTTCAAATTTGCAAAGGACAGTGGTTACTGTAGGTACTAAATCCAGTCACTCTGCTGGCTCTTCATCTTCAGAAATGAAGCATTCCAGTGCTTCAGATGGAGCACCCAAGAGCTCCTCTTCAAAAGGAGAAAAGACCAAAGTGCTGAGTTCCAAGAATTCAGAGGGATCTGTACATAACATGGCGTACCCCGGAATTCCAAAACTGGCCCCACAAGTTCATAACACCATGTCTGGAGAATCAAATGTTAACAAAACCAGCACTTTTGCCGAACCCTCTTCAGTGCCATTTTCTAAAGACACCCTCTTTTCACAGCTACATTCAAGAGGGCAAAGAAATGAGAGAGACCAACACACAGATTCTGCACAGTCAGCAAACCCCTCCCCAGATGATAGCAGTGATGTCAAAACTTTGAAGCTTTCTGGAATGAGCAACAGATCTTCTATTTCCAGTGAACACGTGGGGTCTAGTTCCAGAGACAGGAGACAAAAAGGGAAAAAATCTGGCAAAGAAACTTACAAAGAAAAGCATTCCAGTAAATCCTTTTTGGAACCTGGTCAGGTGACAACGGATGAGGAAGGAAATCTAAAGCCGGAGTTTGTTGATGAGGTCTTGGCTCCTGAATTTATGGGGCAACGGCCATGTAACAATATTTCTTCTGATAAAATCGGAGAAAATGTTCTTTCTATCCCAGGAGTTCCTAAAACTCCGTCTGTGCAAGTTGAAGGACCCACCAAAGATGCACAGGCACCCCGGAAACGCACAGTCAAAGTCACACTGACACCACTGAAAATGGAAAGTGAGAATCAGTCCAAAAACACCCTGAAAGAGGGTAGTCCTGCTTCCCCTTTGCAAAGAGAATCACCATCTCCCACAGAGCCACTTGCAGCCTCCGAAAGCCCTGGAGATGGCCCAGTGGCCCAGCCAAACCCCAACAATACCTTACCTCAGGATTCACAAAGTAACAACTATCAGAATCTTCCAGGACAGGACAGAAACCTTATGCTCCCAGATGGCCCCAAACCTCAGGAAGATGGCTCTTTCAAGAGGAGGTATCCTCGCCGCAGTGCCCGTGCCCGTTCCAACATGTTCTTTGGGCTCACTCCACTCTATGGGGTAAGGTCATATGGTGAGGAAGACATTCCATTCTACAGCAGCTCAGTGGGGAAGAAGCGAGGCAAGCGATCTGCCGAGGGACAAGTGGATGGGGCTGACGACCTCAGCACTTCCGATGAAGATGACCTGTACTATTATAATTTCACCAGGACAGTGATTTCCTCAGGTGGAGAGGAGCGTCTGGCATCCCATAACTTATTCCGAGAGGAGGATCAGTGTGATCTTCCGAAAATTTCACAGTTGGACGGTGTTGATGATGGGACAGAGAGTGATACCAGTGTCACAGCTACGACAAGGAAAAGTAACCAGATTCCAAAAAGAAGTGGTAAAGAAAATGGAACAGAGAACTTAAAGATTGATCGACCCGAAGATGCTGGGGAAAAAGAGCATGTCATTAAGAGTTCTGTTGGCCACAAAAATGAGCCAAAAATGGATAACTGCCACTCGGTCAGCAGAGTGAAAACACAGGGCCAGGATTCCTTGGAAGCTCAGCTCAGTTCACTGGAGTCAAGCCGCAGGGTCCACACAAGCACCCCATCAGACAAAAACTTATTGGATACCTACAACACTGAACTCTTGAAATCAGATTCTGACAACAACAACAGTGATGACTGTGGAAACATCCTGCCTTCAGACATCATGGACTTTGTACTGAAGAACACTCCCTCCATGCAAGCCCTGGGTGAGAGCCCAGAGTCGTCTTCATCAGAACTCCTCAATCTGGGTGAAGGTCTAGGTCTTGACAGCAATCGTGAAAAAGACATGGGTCTTTTTGAAGTGTTTTCTCAGCAACTGCCAACGACAGAAGCCGTTGACAGTAGTGTCTCTTCCTCCATCTCGGCCGAGGAACAGTTTGAGTTGCCTCTGGAGTTACCATCCGACCTCTCTGTCCTCACTACTCGGAGCCCCACTGTCCCCAGCCAGAATCCCAGTAGGCTAGCGGTGATCTCAGACTCAGGGGAGAAGAGAGTCACCATCCCAGAAAAGTCTGTAACCTCCTCTGAAGGAGACCCAGCACTGCTGAGTCCGGGAGTCGATCCTACTCCCGAAGGCCACATGACCCCTGATCATTTCATCCAAGGACACATGGATACAGACCACATATCCAGCCCTCCTTGCAGTTCTGTGGAACAAGGTCATGGCAACAGTCAGGATTTAACTAGAAACAGTAGCACCCCTGGCCTACAGGTACCTGTTTCCCCCACTGTTCCCATCCAGAACCAGAAGTATGTGCCCAATTCTACTGATAGTCCTGGCCCATCTCAGATTTCTAATGCAGCTGTCCAGACCACTCCACCCCACCTGAAACCAACCACTGAGAAACTCATTGTTGTTAACCAGAACATGCAGCCACTTTATGTCCTCCAAACTCTTCCAAATGGAGTGACCCAAAAGATTCAGTTGACCTCTTCTGTTAGTTCTACACCCAGTGTGATGGAGACAAATACTTCAGTACTGGGGCCCATGGGAAGTGGTCTCACCCTAACCACAGGACTAAATCCAAGCTTGTCAACTTCTCAATCTCTGTTCCCTCCTGCTAACAAAGGATTGCTCCCCATGCCTCATCACCAGCACTTACATTCCTTCCCTGCAGCTACTCAAAGTAGTTTCCCACCCAACATCAGCAGTTCTCCTTCAGGCCTCCTCATTGGGGTTCAGCCTCCTCCAGATCCCCAGCTTTTGGTTTCAGAAGCCAGCCAGAGGACAGACCTCAGTACCACAGTAGCCACTCCATCCTCTGGACTCAAGAAAAGACCCATATCCCGTCTGCAGACCCGAAAGAATAAAAAGCTTGCACCCTCTAGTACCCCTTCCAACATTGCCCCTTCTGATGTGGTTTCTAATATGACACTGATTAACTTCACACCCTCCCAGCTCTCAAATCATCCCAATCTGTTAGATTTGGGGTCACTTAATACTTCATCTCACCGAACTGTCCCCAACATCATAAAAAGGTCTAAATCTGGCATCATGTATTTTGAACAGGCACCCCTGTTACCCCAGAGTGTGGGAGGAACTGCTGCCACGGTAGCGGGCACATCAACAATAAGCCAGGATGCTGGCCACCTCACATCGGGGCCTGCGTCTGGCTTGGCCTCCAGTTCCTCCGTCTTGAACGTTGTGTCCATGCAAACCACAACTGCCCCTACGAGTAGTGCATCAGTTCCAGGACATGTCACTTTAGCCAACCCAAGGTTGCTTGGGACCCCAGACATTGGCTCCATAAGCAATCTTTTAATCAAAGCTAGCCAGCAGAGCCTGGGAATTCAGGACCAGCCTGTGGCTTTACCACCAAGTCCAGGAATATATCCTCAACTCGGGACGTCACAGACTCCCTCTAGTGCTGCAATGCCAGCAGCCTCTGGCATCTGTGTGCTCCCTTCTACCCAGACCACGGGCATCCCAGCTGCCTCACCTTCTGGGGATGCTGAAGACCATTATCAGCTTCAGCACGTCAACCAGCTCCTTGCCAGCAAAACGGGGATTCTCTCTTCCCAGCGTGATCTCGATTCTGCTTCTGGGTCCCAAGCGTCGAACTTCACTCAGACAGCAGATGCTCCTAGCAGCGTGGGGCTGGAGCAGACCAAGGCCTTGTCCTCAGCTATGCAAGCCAGCTCAGCCTCACCTGGAGGCTCTCCACCCTCTGGACAGCAGTTAGCAAGCCCATCAGTGTCGGTTCCCACGAAACCCAAGCCAAAAATCAAACGGATTCAGCTGCCTCTGGACAAAGGGAACGGCAAGAAGCACAAAGTTACCCATTCGCGGACCACTTCTGAAGCACACATTCCAGACCAAGAAGCCAGTGTGACACCCCTGACCTCAGTCACAGGGTGAGAGGCAAGATGGGGCCTTTGCTGGGACCGGGGGTTGTCCCTTTGGGGGAGGGGCACTCCTCTGGCCAAATTCCATTACTTAGGGATTTTCTGGGGGGTGACTTTGATATTTTTTTCCTCCCAATAGTATTCTAAACAAAATTTAGTTCCATCCCAGGCAGTTTATGCCTTAAGTTGACATACTTTTAAAAAAGATTAAATTTATTATTTTAAGATTTATTGATTTTAGAAAGGCAGTTACAAAGAGGGAGGGACAAATCTTCCCATCTGCTTGTTCTTTCCCCAAATGGCCACAGTGACTAGAGCTAGGCCAGGCCAGAGCCAGGAACCTAGAACAGCATCCCAGGCTCCTTTAGGGGCCCAAGGACTTGAGCTGTTAGCCACTTTTTTCCAGGCACATTAACAAAGACCAAAAGTGGAGTAACTAGGACTTGAACCAATGCTCACATGGGATGCTGCCATTGCATGTGAAAGCCTAACCCATTGTGCCACATGCTGGCCATACTTGTAATTACTCTTTGCTCTAACTTAAAACAGTACTGCTGTTTGCTACCTTGTGGCTTGTTTTGTTTTTGTTTGCTTTTGTATTTGCTGAGGCTTGGGATCCTAAGGAATGACTGTTTCCATCTGGAGGGCAAAGCCTTGTGTTGTAGATCCCCTTTGAGTCCTCTTTTAAAACTATAAAGTATCTTTGAAAAATAAATTCCTAAAAATCACCAGCCCTGTGGCCTAATGAATAAAGCCGCCACCTGCAGTGCTGGCATCCCACAAGGAAGCCTGGTCAAGTCCCAGCTGCTCTCCTTAGGGTCCAGCTCCCTGCTAATGCACCAGAGGACTCAGCAGAGGAAGGCATATGTTCTTTTGCTGCTGTGCACATGTGGGTGACCCAGAGGAGGCTCCTAGCTCCTGGCTTTGAACCAGCTCAGCTCCAACAGTTTTGGTCATTTGGGAAGTGAACCAGTGGATGGAAGATCTCTATCTCTCCTTCTCTGACTCTCTTCTCAGCAATTCTTTCAAATAAATAACTAAATATTTTAGAAAGTAAAACCTTTTGGTATAACATACATGAAGTATACCATACATAACATATTCCATACATAAAACAAGTGAATCGTTCCTAATACTTGCACTCATGTCACCATGGCTCAGATGAAAATATACAAATACTTCTGGTAATGCAATAGGGCCCTAGTTCCCTCTCTTAGTACCCCCTCAAGGTAGCCATTGTAATTTGTAATTTTTAGGCCCCTAGGTGAGTTTTGGCAGCTCACAAATTGCATCAGGTCCTGACAGAGTCCTTTAGACTGACCTACTCATTGAATTTGGTATGTGGTTACCAGTGGGTTCCTCTTAATGATATAAATGACTGTTCCAGGACTCCAGGAGCTGAGGCCGAGCAGCAGGGTGCAGCAACTGTGGAGCAGTCAGCACAAAAGGAGTGTGGGCAACCAGCGGGGTAAGCTGAAAGATTAGCTCTACAAGAGAAAGCCTCGCTGCCATGCACCTTATTTAACAAGTCATTCTTCCTGACTCACATTGATTTTTGTGGTGTTGTCCAAGTTTTCTAGATGGAAGTAGTACAGGCTTGGGAGGGGTGAGGGGGAAGCATAGACCTACTAAAAGAAAAGGTAATGGCTCCCTGTTGGTCTAGCTCAGCCCCCTCCCAGTTTCTTCCCTCTAGGTAACTGTTGTTCAGGGTGTATTTTCTTTGTACAGACATTTCTGTGCATGTACAGATATAAATTGAAAAAGAAATAATACTGGATGTACTGTTCTGCACTTGTGTTTTTTTTACTGATTGTGTTCTTTTGGGTATATCTTTCTTTGCCAGCAGCCAAAAATACCCTGCCATTTCAGTGACTGCCTGCAGTATTATGGGAGTGGGTCTATCACAATTTATTTTATTTCATATAAGTTACTACAAACTTGAATTGTTTTAGCATTTAGGTGAAAATTGATAAAAATGTACTAGTTCAAACAGTTTACTTTTATTTTGAATTAATCCAGCTGGTTTACATAAGTAGCTGTGTAGTTACAGGCAATTATACAGTTGCATTTGACAAATGTTCTTTCATGATGTCCTGATACTAAGGGTATGAGAAGAATTGCAATGGTGTAATGTAACTTCAGAAATAAACCTAGCATCACTATATTGGAAAGAATCTCAGAAAAGATGGCTCTGTACCATAACCCAGTAACGTGTGCCATTAGCCGTCCAGCATAGCCACTGTGGTTCATTGTCAGATAATTGTTTTGTGTAAGTGACACAGCTGGGTGGCACATGACAGGCACTTTCAGGGTCTGAGTGGAAGAACTAGCTGATGTCATATCTCAAACTTGGTTTTATTTTGTTTTCATTTAGGCAAGTGGCTACTATTCCAGAGATTCAGGCACCACAAAATCCAACAGCAAATGAACAAGAAAACACAGGTATGTGTATTAGCAATGGGTTAGAATCAGATAATTTATCAGTAGCTAAAAGTACTATTGAAATCACCTAATCTGCTTCCTGTGATTCCCCACACACTGAATAAATAAATCTGAATTCCATGGAAGTTGATTGCCCAGAGTGGTTAACTGAAACGCAGAGCACTTGTCTCCTGGTACTGTGCCCACCCACTACTCTGGGACCATCTGCTGGCCACAAAACAAAGCAGCACCTACAGCAGTGAAATTGAAATAGCCCATGATAGCCTGACTTCATCCTTTTTTGTTATTAAAAGAAACCAAGCATCATTTTCATTAGGTAGTTACAACACCAAAATCTGCAGAGCACTTTCTGTCTCTTCTAATAAATTTGATTGGGCCCAGCACTATGGTTCAACTGACTGATCCTCCACCTCCAAGTGCTAAGATCCCATTTCGTACCAGTTCATGTCCCGGCTGCTGCACTTCCCATGCAACTCCCTGCCTGTGGCTTGGGAAAACAGTAGAGGATGGCCCAAAGCCTTAGGCCCCTGCACCTGCTTGGAAGACCCACAAGAAGCTCCTGACTTCCGACTTCTTGCTTCAGGTTGACTCAGCTCCAGCTGTTGAGATCACTTAGAGAGTGAACCAGCAAATAGAAAATCTTTTTGTCTCTCCTCTCCATAAATCTTGCTTTTCAATGAAAGTAAATAAATCTATAAAATAACAATAATAAAGAAATTTGATCAGGAAACAGCTGATCACTTCAAAATTGAGAGAGCTCTGGATATATAAAGCCTTGCCCAGCTGCTTAGAAGGACATCCCAAAAGAGAACAAGGTAGTTGTGCCTAGGTTTGAGTTCTGGGGTACTGCTACTACATCTTGTTAAGCTGCCAGTTCCCCAGAAGTTTGGCATGTCTGTGCATGAAGACAGCGAAGGGCATTGATTGGTAGGGTAGACTGTAGCCAGATGGGTTGAAACTCCCCAACATCACACAGATTGAGTGAACTTGGCCTATGTTTCAGTTCTCACATCTTTAAAATGGAGATTTTGGAGTAGGCATTTGACCTAGTTGCTGAGTCAGTACTTAGGATGCCTGTGCTCCAGCTCCTAATGCCAGCTTCTGCTCATGTAGACCCTGAGAGACAGTGGTGAGGGCTCAAGCAGTGTGGTTTCTGCTACCTATATGCAAGCCCTGGACTGAGTTTCTGGCTCCAGCTTCAGCCCTGGCCCACTTCTGGCGACTGGCAGTAGTTGGAGAGTAAACCAATAGAGGGAAATTCTCTCTGTCATTCTGCCTTTCAAATAAAGAAGCAATTTGAAGAATAAATCGTGCTAATCCATAGTTCAGCCGACTCTCAAAACTGTTGAATAAAATAAAATAGAGATAATAAATGCTACTTCACTAACATTGTAAAGTTTATAGGTATTAATTTGAAGCCTCTATAAGAGTGCTTCTTATGGGACCCGGCACTGTATCCTAGTAGCTAGGATCTTCGCCTTGAAAGCACCAGAATCCCATTTGGGTCCTGGTTCTAATCCTGGCAGCCCCACTTCCATTCAGTTCCCTGTCTGTGGCCTGGGAAGGCAGTTGAGGACAGCCCAAAACCTTGGGACCCTGCACCCATGTGGGAGACCCTGGAGAGGCTCCGTGCTCCTGGCTTTGGATCGGCACAGCTCTGGCTGTTGCTGCCGCTTGTGTGGTGAATTGGTGGACAGAAGATCTTTCCTCTCTGTCTGTCCTCTTCTATGTATAGCTGACTTTCCAAAAAAATAAAATATTTTAAAAAAGAGCGAATGCTTCATGCATACTAAAAGTTTCATATATATTTCGCTACTTTTGTTTTCTTGTTTTGACCCTGTTGAGGACATTTATTTATTGACAAACTGTTGAATTATTATGACACTTTAGTCTCTTTGTTACTATGACTTAGAGCCTCGACTTTGCTCTTCTGTCAGTGAGATAATCCTACCAGCTGTGGAATGATTTGCACAGTACATGCTGTCAGCACTCAAGAAGCTTTTGTTATTGCAACCACTTTGGCCATTAATGATTTTCTCTCTTACAGATCCTAAAACAGTGGAAGAAGAAGAAAGTAACTTCAGCTCTCCACTGATGCTGTGGCTGCAGCAAGAACAAAAGCGGAAGGAAAGCATTGCTGAGAAAAAGCCCAAGAAAGGCCTGGTTTTTGAAATTTCCAGTGATGATGGCTTTCAGATTTGTTCAGAAAGTATAGAAGGTGAGTGGGCTCTGTCAGGCCAAACCCCCAGCTTCACATGCACTTATTGTCAGATCAGCAGAGCTAGCTGTGTTCTGCTAGGCATAATGGGGGTTCCTTGGAGAGTTACATTTCTCTGGTTCTTGAGACATTTGTCGTCCTGGAGAACTATCCACCGTTTAAGTTAGCCGCATCTTAGCAGAACACATGTGTGCACTGCTTCTCCCTCGAGGTTTGCCTTTGGCCACCTCCTTTGTCCCTTCGGTGCCCTGCTCATCACAGGCATTCTCCCCTCTGCCCAAAGTGCTGTTCTGGCCCTCCTAAGTCCAGCCCAGAAGGAATTTCCTGACCTCCTGAGGCACAGGACCACTCCCATCCCACTCTTTTCAAATCTTCTTGGTTCCTCATAGCTTAGAATTTGTGTTAACAGTGCTTTGTATTTCTGTACCTTACTCCACATGCTTCATCGTAAGAGCTGGCATTATACTTTCTTGTTCCTCTGTATCCCAAGCCTCTGGGTGTTCAGTAATTTCTGAAGGACTAGGGAGTGTTCGCTAGGCTGTGCAATTAGGTAGTTCAGCAAAGAAAAAGGCCACATGGCTGAATTAGGGATATTGAAAAAAAAAACATGAAAATTATAATAGAGTAGAAATCCCATTAAAGGAAATAATAGAATGTGGGTGAGATAAAGAGATAGAGAGAAGGCTTTCTTTACAAAGAGATAAGCATTTGTTGGGTTTGGTTAATGTCAGGTGGCAGGGTAACACTGAAATCCTCATCAGGTAGAAGTGAAAGAAAAAATGGAAGAGATAGATTTTGCACAGGTTTTGGAAAATATTAAATGAAGAATAGTGATAAGGACTTCCTACGTGAAAATGGCTAACACACAGTGAGAACTCAGAGACTTGATTTAGCCCTTGAAGGAACTATACAAACTTTCTAGCCCTATTTCTTAGTTTTAAGGAACTGGGAGGTTATGATCTCTCCCATAGTCCCGGTGAGATCATTAGTACAAAGACTGTTTTGGTCAGGGATGTAGGGAGTAGCAATAGTGCCAAACACTCAAGTTCACTACCGAGACCTCCAACAGAGGACTCCCAGGAGGTCTTTTGAGATCCCAAAGGGTGTGAATCTGCTTATGTTTCTATGTCTTCAACAACCTTGCCTCTTGCATTCTTTCCTAAGCCCTGAACTGACTAAGCTGAGGCAGACAACAAAACCTCATGGGAGAGGGTGTGCATTCACGCCGTCAGGATTCTAAGCACACTGCCTGTGCACATGGGCATGGAGAGATGTTTGCATGACAGTTTTCTTACCTACAGATTTCTTTGATGTCCTTACAGATGCCTGGAAGTCATTGACAGACAAAGTCCAGGAAGCTCGATCGAATGCCCGCCTAAAGCAGCTCTCATTTGCAGGTAATGGCTCAGAATACTAGGGAGACTCACTAGTCTAAGCCACAGAATGAATTCCAAAAAGAAAACAGTGTTCTTTCTCAAAATAATAATACCACCACTGACAGAGCTTTGGTATAAGATTCGTATACCATAGAATTCAGTGTTTGACATGCAACTCAGTGATTTTTAGTATATTTACAGAGTTGTGCCAGCCTCATAATTTAAGAGCAGTTTTAAGGTTACTTGGGAAGTGTAAAATTGCATGAATTCTTTATTCCTTTGAATTGCCAAATATTATTCTGTTGTGTCAATATACCACATGTTGCTTGTTCTTTCACCAGTTGTCAGGGTCTTGGTTTTTTTTTTTTCCATCCTCATTGAATAATTGCCATGGAGTTTATTGGTATAGACATGTTTCTGTTTCTTTTGGGTACATATCTAGAAGTAAAAGTGCTGTGCCGTTTGGTAATTCTGTTCAGTTTTTTGAGGAACTGCCAAATTGTTTTTAATTCAAAGTGACTGTAGCATTTTATGTTCCCAGCAATGCATGACAGTTCCCACTTCTCCATATGCCTGCCAGCACTTCTTATGTCTTTCTAATTATTGAGATATCCGTGAAACAGTCTCTTGTTATGGTTTTGTTTTACCTTCTATTTTATTTGTATTCATTCATTTGAGAGACAGAGAGCGCCCATCCACTGGTTTACTTCCCAATGACTGGTAGTCAGGAGGGCATATGAATTACTAGCACAACTATTTGGGAGAACAGTTATGCAGTAGCTCTCAAAATTTTCAGATCATGTGCTTTTCCATAATAGCTAGACTTTTAAGAAATTATCCTGTATGTAGTCACAAACAAGTCATAACACCATGTCCTTATACCACGTGGTAGTGAAAGACTGAAAGCAGCCCAAATGTTCCTCAGTAAGAGAATTTAGAAAGAATCTGGAGTAAAGCAATTAAAAAGCAGGTTATAGCAGTATGTGTTTGGTGTGATCCCGAGTGCCTGAAGACACTTGCAAATTATATACATAGTGGTGGTTGCCTCTGAGGACTAGGCCCGGTGTTAGAATGGGTAACTTTGTTAATGACAAATTATTTATGAAAAATAATTTGAAACATGTACACAATGTATAATCAGGATAAGCAGCATCTCCAGATCCCCAAGCGTTAATTTTTTCTACCCGTTGAAATCTTTGGACTCTTTTAGTCTCTTTGAAATATAAGATAGATTGTTACAGACTGTAGTTATTCTACTCAGAACTAATGCTTATATAGAATAATTAACTTTTTCTGTGCTTCTGTTTCTTTGAGTAGGTTATTTCATTTATAAATTAAAAACAACAAATTCAAATATATTCATTTTATGAAAGAACAATTGGCAGGTATTTTTTTTTCCTAGTTAGTGGTCTTATGTTCTCTGGCTTCTCTGCCTCTTCAGCTCCCACTCTGCCCACTCCCTGGGCTGCTCAGCCATTCCCGTGCTCTCCCATTCCACGCAGTGGTTCCATCCCCCACTGCTGTCCTTCCAGAGTTCGAAGCAGAACAACTCTGGTCAATCCGGACATCCTCACTTTCCCTCCTCATCCACGTTCTGCTGATTCTGCCCCAAAGCATGAGTCATAACCCTTTCTCCTCTTTTCCGCCTCAGGTGTAATGCTTGTTCTTCTCACACCTACAGTATTGAGAACCCTTAAAACTAGTCCCAGAATCACTTTTGTTCCACCTTACATGTTTCCCCTGGGTCACTGGAGATACCACTAAATTATTGTTGTTGGTAAATATTTATGGAACTCTTTCAGTATGTCTGGTACCATGTTAAACACTCAGGGCACTTGGCATGTTGGTTAAGATGTGACTTGGGACGCCCATGTTCCATAACAGAGTGCATAGTTCAGGTCCCAGTTTCACTTCTGATTTCTGCTGATGTGTGCTCTGGGAGGCAGCAGGTGGTGACCTCAATACTTGGGTCCCCCCTACCCATGCAGGAGACTGAGATTGAGTTCCTGGCTCCTGGCTTTAGCGTGACGCAGTCCTGGCCATTGTGGGCATTTTGGAAAATCAGTGAATCAAAGATTCTTGTTCTCTCTCTGTCTTCTCTCTCTCTCTCCTTTCTGCCTTTCAGAACAATATTCAGGATGTTAATCCCTGAATAGAAGCAGACTGGGCCCTGCGCTCCTAAAACTTCCAAAATGTAGGTCTTTATACAGGATAAGGTCCTATTCAGCCTCTCTTCACCTGTTCAGTCTCAGCTCTCTCTGCTTTCCTCAGGACTCCTGTTTCTGTAGCTACAGCACACTATATATTAATCCAGATGCCGGTCCTTAAGTCCGGTCTATAAATGCAATTTTTAGATCTCTGGGCTCAGCGTGAGAAAGCTGAATTTCAGCCTGCACCCCCAAGTACGCTTCATCACTCACATGTACTTCCACATTGGCATCCCATGGTTCATGCAGTTCCCTCCAACAGGAACTGTATTTTTCCCAGACTCCCAAATTCCCTTGTTCACTTGGCAAACTTCCATTAATCTCTTAGCCCTACTGACTGAAATTCCCTCCTGTATCTACAGAAACCCCACCTTCACAGGTCTCAACAGTGAGGTAAATGCATCATGTAGCATCATAGGACGTCCAGAGGTAGGACAGATAGCTGGCTTGATTTATGAGGAAGTCTCAGTATGATTAAAGATCTAAGTTCTTCCCTTTTTTCCCCTTGATCTTCAGGGAATAGCTTCACCTCCAAGCTGATAGCAAATGGTTGCCCTCGTCCTCAGGGTCACATTTGGTCATCACATCGTTCAAAGGAATAGGAGGAGTCTTTTTTTTAGGCACAATTGGACATCTTACATATTACAGACCAGAGGAGGCATCATAGACATTCCTAAACTAGTCACCAGCAAGATTCCAGAAGTGGCTTGGACTGACCTTCTGGAACAAGAGGAAAAGTAATAGAATGTCTCATGTCCTTGAGTCCCTGTACCCACATGGAAGACTCAGAAGAGGTTCCTGGCTCCTGGCTTCAGATGGGTCCAGCTCTAGCCATCTGGAGAGTGCGCCAGTGGATGGAAGATCTTTCTGTATCTCCTGTCTGTGACTCTGCCTTTTAAAATGAAATCATTATTATTTTGTATATCTTCACCTCTGTGTTCCCAAGGACTTGTCTAGCACAATGAAAGAATATTGCTATGTGCACTAGAAGTATTTGCTGAATAAGTGACTATCCCATAAACAAATTTAATTTTTCCCAAGTGCTTTATATCGTGACTTAACTGGGACCCCATTGTGTGGTTGAGGTACATATATTCCTCTTTCTGCTGTGAACTTAACTCATCTTGGTCTTATCATCAGTGTAACACTTAATCTCATTGTAAGACCTCCAGAATATAGAAAATTTGGCCAGCATTTTGAGATGAACTGAAAATACACCTGAATATTTCATATGTTTGGTGGTGTCTCTTTGTGCCTTGAAATCCACAACAGTGTAGAAAACCCCAGGAGAAAACTGGTTAGAGAAGAATCAGAGTTCTGTAGGGAAAAGGTTTTTTGCTATTATCTTATATAGCTTCAGTTCTTACAGGATAGACTGATATTCTGTACTTAAGTAGTGTTGTAATTGGACCAAATGTTACGCTTAGAATAACATTGCTTATGTACAGACTTAATAGTAGTGCTTATCACTAAATTATCTCCATTAGAAATTCTCTAGATGAAACAAAAATTCAGTATCATTGCTCCTTTAACAAAAAATCACCCATGACATGAAAGCATTTAAAATATGGACAAACAACCACTACAACTGATAAAAAGGCAGCAGTGCCACCTCCAGAGTAGCTGTTATAATGCTGAAGCACAGCACTGTGCCGTTTCGGCCCGACTCACTGCCCACGTGCCTTTGATCCCACAGGTGTGAACGGATTGAGGATGCTGGGGATTCTCCACGATGCAGTTGTATTCCTGATTGAGCAGCTGTCCGGTGCCAAGCACTGTCGGAATTACAAATTCCGCTTCCATAAACCGGAGGAGGCCAATGAACCCCCCTTGAATCCTCATGGTTCAGCCAGGGCTGAAGTCCACCTGAGGCAAGTTTTTTTCTTTGTTGTAAGCAGTTGGGGGTCCTGTTCTTATTATTTCCCATTCCAGTTATTTTCCCTCATAACCTTTGAGATGTCTAATGTTCACGCCATCATCCTTTACCACTTTAAAGCATTTCTCTGAACACATTTTCATCTTTTGGCTCCAGGAAGTCTGCATTCGACATGTTTAACTTCCTGGCTTCTAAGCACCGGCAGCCTCCTGCATACAACCCGAATGATGAGGAAGAAGAGGAAGTACAGCTGAAGTCAGCCCGGTGAGTTCCGTGCATGGGACTGTTAGCACTATTCCTGTCCTACTACACCAGCTCTTTTGGGCACTGTGTAGTTTTCCCTAGAACAGATTTCCCGACCAACACTTTACAAGACTAAAATACAACTTTAAGAAAGTAGCAGTAGGGCCCAGCGTGATGGCGCAGTGGTTAAGGTCCTTGCCTTGCACATGCTAGGATCCCATATGGGCGCCAGTTCTAATCCTGGCAGCCCCGCTTCCCTTCCAGCTCCCTGCCTGTGGCCTGGGAAAGCAGTGGAGGATGGCCCAAAGCTTTGGGACCCTGCACCCGCGTGGGAGACCCGGAACAGGCTCCTGGCTTCGGATTGGCATAACATCGGCCGTTGTGCTCACTTGGGGAGTGAATCATCGGACGGAAGATCTTCCTCTCTGTCTTTCCTCTCTGTATATCTGCCTTTCCAATAAAAATAAAATAAATCTTTAAAAAAAAAAGTAGCAGTAAAGGAAGGAATAGAAGTTAGAAAAATTCAAGTAACAAAGAAAATACATAGTTTCTTTTTTTGTTTTTAAGATTGATTTTTTTTTAATTGGAAAGTCAGATTTACATAGAGAAGGAGAGACAGAAAGAAAGATCTTCCATCCGCTATCTCACTCCTCAAGTGCTCACAGTAGCCAGGAAGCCAGGAGCCCAGAGCCTCTTTTGGATCTTCCACGCTAGTGCAGGGTCCCAAGGCTTTGTGCCATCCTCAACTGCTTCCCCCAGGCCACACGCAGGGAGCTAGAAGGGAAGTAGAGCAGCTGGGATATGAATTGGCGCATATATGGGATTCCTCTGCATGCAAGGCAAGGACTTTAGCCACTAGGCCACCACACTGGGCCCACAAAGTACTGATTTTCTTTAATAGTTTGTTGTCTTTGGATATACCACCATACTCACTATAGGCAATCTGCTAGACAGGAGTACTCACATAATTAAAACTGGGATAAGGGACAGGCACCACAGCATCAAGGTAAGGCCCTGCTTGGGATGCCTGCATCCTGTACTAGAGTAACTGGGATCAAGTTCCTCCTCTACATCCATCCCATCTTCTTGCAATGCGCCTGGAAGGCTGCAGATAGAAGCCTAAGTACCTGGGTTCCTATTACCCATGTGGGAAATCCAGAATGAATTCTTGGTTCCTGGTTTCGGTCTGGTCTAGCCCTGACTGTTGCAGGCATCTGGGAAGTACGCTAGCAAATGGAAGATCTCTGACTCTCCCTCTTTCTCTGGCACTCTGTCTTTTAAATAAGTAAAAATTAATAAAATTATTTTTTAAAAGAGCCTGATATTATTGGTCACTTGTCATGATTGGTGTTGAGCAAAGAGTGATTTTGCATTCCCTAGGAGCCTTCAGTGCAAGACCCAAGAGTTTATTTCCTGAATGGAATCCATTAATACTGTGTTCTGTCTCTTAGGAGGGCAACTAGCATGGATCTGCCAATGCCCATGCGTTTCCGGCACTTAAAAAAGACTTCGAAGGAAGCAGTTGGTGTCTACAGGTATGGCTAAAATTCTAGGAAGAAACCTAGAAAACTGATAGTTTTCCAAAATAGACATGTGTGCTGAAGTTACTTCTGTCATCACGTAAGGATTTTATCAAAGTTACTCATTAAATCTGCTGTCCTGGGATTCTTCCGTTTCCTTATGTTGAACAAGGAATTTAACACAGTAAACATTAAAATATAGGTAATTCTAATGGGCTCCAGAGTGAAGAAATTTCATGTCTTATTCCATTTGTTAGAACAGTGGGTTTATACCAACCAGGTGTGTCTATATTTTCCCCCTCGAGTGTGTCTGTGCTGGGAAATGTATCGTTTATTCATGTATTCACACAGTTGCACTTGCCAAATTGATGTCCACCTTTATGTCCCAGGTCTCCCATCCATGGCCGAGGGCTTTTCTGTAAGAGAAACATTGATGCAGGTGAGATGGTGATTGAGTATGCCGGCAATGTCATCCGTTCCATCCAGACTGACAAGCGAGAGAAGTATTACGACAGCAAGGTGGGCCCCCCACTGTCGCTCTCCCAGCTCTTTGGTTTTGCTGTAGCAGGGGGCCATCAGCTACCGATGTGAGTCCCAGACCCAGAAGAAACGCTGTATGCCTCGATGCAAAGACGTTTTGGTTTTTTTGTTTTTTGTTTTTTACATCTTTGACATTTTTAATGGGACCACTGAAAGTTCAGAAACCACTCGAAGGATTAGTACCCAGAGATACTCTTGGAGGGTGTGTCTGTGTGAGTCCCAGGATCCAAAACGCAAAGCTACGCAAGAGTCTTAGGTGTCCTTGCTGCTGAGCCGTTAGGAACCACGGTCTAGTGCTCGTAATCTAGGCAGTCCTCATGGAAGCATCTTGAAAGATGGGCACTGGGAGAAATCTGCACATGGTACTAGAAGAAACTGTGTTCACCAGTGGTCAGAGGTAACGTCAGGGGAAGGCTGGGAAAAGCTCTTGAGCCTAGGCCCTGTGAAATAACGAGCTCTTCTTTCTCCTAATTGCGTAGGGCATCGGTTGCTACATGTTCCGCATTGATGACTCCGAGGTTGTAGACGCCACTATGCATGGAAATGCTGCACGCTTCATCAATCACTCCTGTGAGCCCAACTGCTACTCTCGGGTCATCAACATTGATGGGCAGAAGCACATTGTCATCTTTGCCATGCGTAAGATCTACCGGGGGGAGGAGCTCACTTATGACTATAAGTTCCCCATCGAGGATGCCAGCAACAAGCTGCCCTGCAACTGTGGCGCCAAGAAATGCCGGAAGTTCCTAAACTAAAGCTGCTCTTGTCCCCCGGCATTTGAGAACCAGGACCCACAGCCAGCCAGGGCAGTGCTGAAGGCCTTGTCCAAGGAGCTCCAGGATTGAGTGGGCACAGTTGAGGGGCCTCTGTGACGGCTCAACACCCTTACGTCCCATACTTACATTGCGCGTGTGATCAGAGTCCTGGAGAGAGCGTTGAGGTCCCAAAGAAGAGACCGTGTGATCAGCCTTCTCCTGGGTACCTTCTGATTGTTTGCCGTTACGAAGTGGAAAGTGGGGATCCCAAGCAGACTCGCCTGGAGGGAGCCTGTAGAGGGTTAGTTACGTTGCAAGTGGGCCTAAGCTCTCCCCAGAGAGAAGTTGCCATCCTCACCTTGGCCCTTTCCCAAGCACTATGAGTGAGGGTTCAGGCCAGACCCCTCATCTAGAGTCGGTTGGATGCCTGGTAGTTTGCCAACCAGTCCTTGCATGGAGGCATCTTTTGAGCCAACAGAGAAGGGCTGATAGTTTTCCCTGTTCTCCTCCCACTCAAGAGTTCACTTCTGGTAGGGAGACAGATCCTTAGCACCTCTGATGTCAAAAGGCTGCCTTGGGGTTGTGCCAATTATGTTCCAAACATTGAGCCTGTGGCTTGAAGGGGGAGTGCTCTCCCCAGGAGCCTTATCTCAGCCAATTCCCTGTCTTGGCAGTAGGAGCCGCGTCCCTCTCTTCCTTCCACCTTCTTCCTTGCTCCCCTCCACACACACCGTCCTTCATCCCACTGCTTTCCCATGCTTCTTTCAGGGTGGTAGGGGAGAGGGACTCTCTGCTCCAGGACGTTCCCTGATGGGCATAGGATGTGCCTACGGAAAGTTCCCTGACCCTGTAAAGCACTCTGGGGGACAGAAGGGGGGAAGTGGACAGGAGCCAGCGGCCATAACCAGACAGAATTTGGAGTCATTTTCATCAAGCTCCTCTGAGAGTCTTGAAGAAATATATATGTAGCATGATTTTTTTTAGAAGAGGAAAAAGATTATTTAAATAGGATTTGAATCATGCAACAACGAGAGTGTCATGACAGCCAGGATGAGCCCTGGGCCCCAAGCCCAGGACGGTGACTTGCTCTACCCCGTGTTAAGACATAGGAAGACTCCCTTGTAAACGGTCAGTGTCCGGTTGAAGGCAGAACACTAATCAGACTCCAAGGCCCTAAACTTGGAGACTAGACCACCTCGTGTGGGGGGGACTCTGCCGCCTGTGTACAGTCCATGGATAAAGTAGATGAAATGACACTACTGCCCTGATTACTCCTTAGGACGTGGTCAAAACAGCATCAAATGTTCCTTCTCTTCCTTCCCCTGAGACAGTATCCTGAACCTGTTAAATTAAGTCATTGGATTTTACTCTGTTCTGTTTACAGTTTACTATTTAAGGTTTTATAAATGTAAATATATTTTGTATATTTTTCTATGAGAAGCACTTCATAGGGAGAAGCACTTATGACAAGGCTATTTTTTAAACTGCGGTATTATCCTAATTTAAAAGAAGATCGGTTTTTAATAATTTTTTATTTTCATAGGATGAAGTTAGAGAAACTATTCAGCTGTACACACAAAGTCTGGTTTTTCCTGCCCCACTTCCCCCCGGAGGGTGTACTTTTTGTCGTTCAGTGTGTAGCTTGTTTGTGCCCTGTCGACATCAATGTTTCCTGGGTTTGCTCCTTGACAATAAATGGAGAAGGACGGTCACCCAACTCCATTGGGCCATTCCCCTCCTTCCCCTAGTGAAGCTCCTCAAAAGGCTGTCATAGGATCTGGATACAACACTTCGTCCTCTTCCTTCCCGAACTCTTTCCTTGCTGGCACCAGCCCCTGAGCGGCAGGAGGCGAGCATCTTCCGCATCTCCCTCACCTTTCCTCCTTCAGAGTTTGCAGCCAACATGCTGGATGGCAACTTGACATTGTCCATCACCATCTGCCTCATAGGTCACCTTCTTCCTCTCCCTCTTCTGCCCACCGAGTCCTCATTCCTGCCAAGCACCCATTGATCTTGTGCCCTCTCTAGGGGCAGCCCGTTGAAACTGAAGCACAGTTTGACCACTCACGATGAAGCCGATCCTCCTCTGCCCCTGCCATGTGGTTTCAGAGTAGTGTAGTCCACGGCGAGGGCGGGGGGCCCCTTTTCTCACCGTGAGAAGCCCACTCCCATGGAAGCCTAGTGAAGCAATACGACTGGGCCCAGCGCACTCTGCCCCGGGACTCACGGCTCTGCTGTGCCTTCCATCCTGGGCTCCTTGGCTTTCATGACCTTAAGAACTTCGCTTGGTGGCTTTGCTGGAACATTGTCACTGTTGCCACTGTCACACAGGGAGCCCAGCACTGTGGCCAGGATGGCAGAGAACTTCCTTGTCATCACGGAGAAGTGCCAGCAGGGGACTGGGGAAAGCACTCTACCCAGACCTCCCCTCCCCCCTCCTTTTGCCCGTGAACAAGATGCAGTGGCCCGAGGGGTTCCACTAGTGTCTGGTTTCCTTTATTATTGCACTGTGTGAGGTTTTTTTGTAAATCCTTGTATTCCTATTTTTTTTTAAAGAAAAAAAAAAACTTAAGCTGCGTTTGTTACTGAAACGATTAATGCACTGATGGGTCACGAATTCACCTTGAGAAAGACCCAAGGCCAGTCAGAGGGTGGGGGAAACTCAGCTCAATAGACCTAGTGACTGCCCTGCTAGGCCATGCTGTACTGTGAGCCCCCTCCTCCTCCTCTTCCTACAACCCTAAACCCTGAGGACAGGGAGGAACCCACAGCTCTCCTCCTGCCAGCTGCAGCTGGTTTGCCTTGCCTTTCCACCCCTCCCAAATCATCAAACCACAGAAACAAGAAATCTCCTCTTACAGCTCAGCCTTGAGTCCATTGCCAAATGTCAGCAGACCTGCCAGCAACTTGGGGGATAAAAGCTAAGGCTTCCCTACCAATGGGGAAGAAGGCAAGAATGGTGGAGCCATCTCCAGCACTCGTGGGAGTCTGTTTGCAAAGCGACCCAGGGCATCTCCGCACCAAAGTGCAGATGGAGGCATCGTGGTGGGTCGCTCCCCAGCATATCCCCCAAGGGGCATCCCCAGTCCCTAAGGAGTAACAGCTGCATACCTGGTCAGTTCTCAGTGAGAGCCAGCTCACTTACCGCTTTGCTGCTAGAACCTGTTGTGGCTGCATTTCCTGGTGGCCAGTGACAACTGAGTAACCAGAAGAAGCTGCATGGCGCCGACCCTTTGGCCGGAACCTGGCCCCTTGGCTCCCTCCGTGGCTGCCCACCACCTCCAGCACAGCCCCTCCTGTTTTTAGACCAATAACAAGCGTTAAGGGGGAAGCCTTGGCAGCTATTAAGTTTTCAACTGAGACTCCTTGGCTGGGACCCAGTCCACCATCCTGCTCGCCTCCGTCTCAGCCCCGGCCAATGTAGTAAGCACCATGCAGCAACCTTGAGTACAAAACAATACAAAAGAAAAAAAAAAGAAAAAAAAATGCAACAACACAAAGACAAAAAAATTTATTTTAATGAATGTATCTTTCTAAAGGACTGACATTCAATCAAATATTTGAAAATACTAAAGGTCAAAACCTTGTCAGATGTTAACTTTTAAGTTTGATTTGGGATTTTTCTTTTTGAATAGAGATCAAGCTGTTCTTTTTGTTGTTTGTTTTAAAGGAAAAGCGGGTCATCGCAAAGGGCTGGGTGTCATTCTGTGTTTCATTCCTTCATTTTAAAGCAATACAAGGGTATTGAGCAGATGGTTTTTGAATACCAGTCAAGTCTCACTCTGAAAACTTGCAATCTTTTTGTTTGTTTTGGTTTTTCAAATAAATATAAATATGATATATATAGGAACTAATATAGTAATATACCATGTAACAAAGCCTAGTTCAGTCCATGGCTTCTAACTCTTAACACTATAGATAAGGATTGTGTTACAGTTGCTTGTAGTGGCAGGAAAATGTCAGGCCAGCATTCCTCTGGTCCTCGAAAGGGAGGGGGCTCAGACCACAGAGGGATGGGAAGAGTCCCTCCCCGGGACCAGAGAGAAATGCAAAAATGGTGTCACCTGGATTTTTTTTTCTGCCCGTGAATGTTGCCAGTCGGTACCTGTACCCCTTGTTTCTCTATTTCCGCCCATGAATGTTGGGGTTGCCACCTGCACTTAGGGGACAGTTGTGTTCTGTGCTTTCCTGGTGTCCTGCCCTGAGGTACTCTAGTCCTTTCAACCAAGCAAACAGACGCGTGCTGTTTCTTTTATTGGACTTTTAACTGTCTCTTTAGTAAATACAGGTAGTTGAATAATTGTTTCAAGAGCTCAACAGATGACAAGCTTCTTTTCTAGAAATAAGACATTTCTTGACAACTTTATCATGTATAACAGATCTTTTGTTTTGTTAATTTTTTTTCCTTGTGTTCTTCCAAGCTTCTGGTTAGAGAAAAAGAGGAAAAAAAAAAAAAAGAAAAAGTGTGTAAAGTCCATCAGTGTTAACTCCCTGTGACAGGGATGAAGGAGAAGACTTTAATAGTTCAAAAAATAATAATGCTGAAAGCTCTCTACGAAAGACTGAATGTAAAAGTAAAAAGTGTACATAGTTGTAAAAAAAAAAAAAGGAGTTTTTAAACATGTTTATTTTCTATGCACTTTTTTTTATTTAAGTGATAGTTTAATTAATAAACATGTCAAGTTTATTGCTGCACACAGTTGAGCTTCCTTTTGGCCTTGGCAAGGGGTGTGGAGGGTGGCATGGCCTGTGACCTGCTTACTAGAGTACCTTCCCGTCATTTTAAGATGGAATCCCTTAACCTATGCCCCAAGGCCTACCTCCGGATCTCACTCCACACGGGCCAGCCTAGATGTTTAGGACCCAGTTAATACAGTGCCTCCCACATCCAGGAGAGATAAGGTAGTAGCCTCCAGCAATTTCATCCTCAACTACAAATACATATAACACATTCAAACTAAAATACCTGGGCTGCTGGCAAGCTGGAGCCTGCTTTGCCCTGCTCCACCTTAAGGCCAAAATTGGATTTGTTAATTCTAGATTGGCTCTGAGAAATAAGTAAATATTCTGCCAAGCCAGGGTCACTGACTCCAGACCAGAGGGGTTGAGCTTATGCTACAGCCGCAGACTAACACACTTCTCACATACAACCTACCCCAGGAGAGTAGCAGCTCCCTGCTGCAGGCTCCACGCCCGCCCCCTAGGCCTCTGCTCTCGCTCCTCACCTGCAGACAGGAGCACCATGGCAACTCCTAATGACCAGGCGGTTTTGCAGGCCATCTTCAACCCCAACACCCCGTTTGGAGATGTGGGGGGGTTGGACCTGGGAGATGACACAGAGCAGGAGGAAGCAGATGAAGGTGAGTATTTGACTTTGGAGGGTGACTCCCCCCGTGGCATCCCAGCCACTGGCAGCAGACAGACTGGGTCTCATTCATGACCTTGAGGTAATGACCAAGCTTGGAACCCGAGGGGCTGGCTGCTGATGAGGACAGGGCTTTGGGAAGGGCTAAGACCAGAAAGCCAGGTTTGTCTCCCAGTCCATCGGCCCTCACAGCCCACTCCAGGACCCTCGCTGAGCTGTGCTGCCACGACACAGGACATCACCCCATGCAGAACAGGAAACAAGTAGGGAAGGGGATGGGATGGCTCTGTGGCTCTGACACAAGGAGCAGAAGCAGCGTTGGCCGGGTGCGCTGAGCTGACTCCTGTGTTCACCAGCTTTTCTGCCAGCCCCCCGTTGAAGGACTGATGTGCTTGGCTTCTGAAAGAGGCCCAAGCCTTATGGGAACTTCAGGCTGAAAAGCCAAAAGATTGATCCAAAGTGATTCTCCTGCCTACGCCCCTCCCCGGGAAGGTCACAGCTTTTGCTCCTGACTGCACCTGTTCCCTCTGGGTAGATGGAGTTTTCCCTCAAGCCCAGCTGGAGCAGTCCAAGGCCCTGGAACTGCAGGGGGTGATGGCAGCGGAAGCTGGGGACCTGGCCACAGCCCTGGAAAGGTTTGCCCAAGCCATCGACCTGCTGCCCGAGAGGGCCTCGGCCTACAATAACCGAGCCCAGGCCCGGCGGCTCCAAGGAGATGTGGCAGGTGAGGAGAGGGATGGCTGCAGCTTCTGGGAGCAGGGTCCATGGAGGTGCTGGGCTTGGGGCGGGGGAGTAGGTAGCTCCCAGACCCTGTTGGAGCCTGTGTTTGCTGTAAGGGATCAGCTATAGTGGGGGTCCTACTACTCTCATGGGGTTCTTGTGGAAGGGGAGCTTGCATATCATTTAAGAAGCACTTGGGGAGCCAGCTCTGTGGCACCAAGCTAGGCACTGAGGTCACCTAATATGTCGCAGTCCCCAAGTGCAAAGCATTAGGCACCGCATGTATAAACTTTGGGAACTCAGTCTTCACAACACCCGTTGTAAGGATGCAGTATTGTTACCCCATTTCACAGATAAAGCACCTTGTCCATAGTCAACCATCTGGGCTCGGGCAGAGCTCTTAAGCCCCACAGGAGCTCACAGTCCAGGGTTTGGGGGCAACAGCAGGGTAGGTTTGATGGGGATCTGCAGGTTTAGAAGGATGGATAGGAGTTGACTGCAGCTCAGCGAGAGAAGGCACAGTCTGCGGAGGAGCAGGCACAGGTGCAGGGTGGCAGGAACTGGCAGTGTGGTGCGTGGCAAGCTGAGCCTGCGGAAATGCACCAGGAAGTGGAGAACGGCATTCCCCGATGTGACTGCATCGTGTCTTCCTTGGAAATATGGGGGATCACCTGAGGGAGTAACTGGACAGCACCTGCTGTACTCCCAGTTACTCTGGCTAGAGTGGTGAGAAAGAGACACAGGGGACATGCTAGGGACTCCACTGTGGGAGTGGTTGGGACCCCTGAGTCATCCTCTGCAGGTGTGTCTCACAGGCAGGTGGGACCATCAAGCTGCTGGCCCAAGGCCCAACAAGCAGCAAAGTGACTCCCAGGAGAGGCCCTGAGCACCTTCAGACCAGCTCCTCCGCAGGGAAGCCAGGAAACAACAATCTGGGAGCTTCCCCCCAGTGTGGGTGAAGAGGGGAGCATGGCACCTGCTGGGGGGTAATGGCCTTGCTCCAAAGGGATGCTAGGCCCAGCTAGAGGCCATACCATGGATGTGAACTGAAGCCAAGACACAGGCCACCAGTGAGCCTTCTCTGAGAGCTTCCTGGGACTCCCTGGGGTAAAGTTCTGAGGCTCACCCTCTGAAGTACTGGATGAGAGCAAGAGCAAAGTGCAGGCCACAGCCGCTGCTCCTTGCCCTGCTTGCAAAGAAAGGAGATCCAAAATACTGAAGCTCCAGATCGTAGACGAATGAGGTACGCAGTGCAGGAAACAGGAGAGGGAACCTGGGATGGAAAAGGTAGGGAGCCCCAGAAAGGAAAAGAATGAGAGGCTGACTTAACTGTGTATCTGCAAGAATGACTGTGCAGTTCAGCATATTTTAAAAAAGATTTACTTAAAACAGTGTTAGAATCTCCCATCTGTTGTTCAACTCCAAATAGCCTAAATCAGAAGCCAGGAGCCCAGAGCTTCACCCAGGTCTCCCATGTGGGTGCAGGAAGCCAAGCACTTTGGCCATCTAACATTGCTTTCTAGGCGGATGAGCAGAGAGCTGGGTGGGAAGTGGAGTGGCCAGAACCAGTGCTCATATGGGACGCTGGTAACGCAGGCAGCAGCTTAACCAAAAGTTGCCTTAACCCCGACCCTTAAAGTATCATTTTGTAGCTCTGGGATTCCGGATTAGTGGTAAGTAACACTGGGAATGAACGACTGCAGGCAGTGAAGCACAGCCCACCAACACAGTCCTCGCAGGAACCTGCTCTGTCGGGTGCACTCATGGTGGAAAATAACTGGCCTTGTGGTCCCAGTTCTGCTGCTTCATGGCTGCTCAGCCCAGGCAGGGCAAGCCATTCCGAATCTCCCTGTCTACATTAGTGAAATGGGAACCGTCTGTAACCCTGGGAGCAAAAGCGTGCTCGTGCTCAGCCCTTTAACCGAAGCCTCCGGGACTACCGCGGGCGGCCGCAAGAGGGAAGGGGTTGGGGTACCGGGCAACCCTCCCCGCCCACCCCTCTGCGCGCCGCTGACCGCCCGCTCTCCCGCAGGCGCCCTGGACGACTTGGAGCGGGCCTTGGCGCTGAGCGGCGGCCGAGGTCGCGCCGCCCGCCAGAGCTTCGTGCAGCGCGGGCTGCTGGCGCGACTGCAGGGCCGGGACGACGACGCCCGCAGGGACTTCGAGCGGGCGGCGCGGCTGGGCAGCCCCTTCGCGCGGCGCCAGCTGGTGCTGCTCAACCCCTACGCCGCGCTGTGCAACCGCATGCTGGCCGACATGATGGGGCAGCTGCGAGGCGCCCCGAACCAATAAAACCGCCGGGCTCGCCGCCTGCTCCGCCTGCTTCTGTGTGCGGTCCCCGCGCGCCCGCGCATGGGCACGGGGACACCAGGCGTAGGGCTGGGGAGGGCACGGCCGCCTGCCCCGGGGGTGGGGTATCCGCCGGCAGGCACTGATTGGCCCTGCCTGGCGCAGCCTGCCGCGGACTGCGGCGCTCCTCAGACCCGAGCAGTTGCTCGGGCTGCGCTCGGGGAGGCAGCCAGGTGAGCCGCCCGGGGGGGATGGGGCAGCGAGGGGAGCGGAGGGAAGGGAGGATGCTCCGGAGACCCCGGCCCCTGCGATTTGCGCCTTCTCGCCTCAAATTTGTCCCAGCAGTCAGCATTGGGAGAGGAGTCGTGGAGCGAGAGGTGGACCGGAGGGAAAGGCCGGGCCGGGAGGAAAGCGGGTCCTTTGGGCATAATGTTGGTAGGCACGTTGATGTGCACAGGCGCTCTCGCGGCTTCCGTGTAGCTGCGGGGGTGTGCGGTGTGTCCACTGGAGACAGGACTGGCTTCTGTCCCAGCGGGGTGTGCAGGTACCTGCTGGGGTGTCTGAGTGGGGGGGGATGGTGCGAGGATGACTTTGAACGCTGGCCACCCCGAGCACCTTGGCCATCCTGGGCATTCCTGCATTTGTGTTTCCTTGTGCCGTTTCTGGAGAGTGAATTCCCGGAGGAACTGCTAGGCCTGCCTGCTCCCGAAGGCTGACACGAGGCCCGCCCCTTCTCTCCAGGGCAGCCTAGAGCCCTGGCCAGGGCTAGCATGGCGCTGCTGCCAGGCCCAGCTACCTTCCTGCAGGCACTACTGCTCCTGCCAGCCCTTCTGAACTCAGGTACTCACCCTGCTGGCCTGCTGGTCACGCATTTCTGGGCATCAGAGCCCACTCTCCCCTCGTTGGGTGTCTGACACTCTGGGTCCCCTCTCCAAGCCCCGGGCTCCCCCTCCCAGCAACTGTACTTCAAGGCAGTGCATGGTAAGAGAACCCCCGTGTGCCCTGTCCCCTGGGCCTGCTGTCCTAATGTAACTGGACTCCGAATAGTACCAAGCCTCCCCCCCAGAGGTCCCCTGCTTTGTTCCAGGTTGGGGGGAATTGGCACCCCAAATCGATGGCCAGACATGGGCTGAGCGGGCCCTTCGGGAGAATGAGCGCCACGCCTTCACTTGCCGGGTGGCAGGGGGTCCTGGCACTCCCCATTTATCTTGGTACCTGGACGGGCAGCTGCAGGAGGCCAGCACCTCAAGACTGCTGAGTGTGGGTGGGGAGGCCTTCTCCGGCGGCACCAGCACTTTCACTGTCACTGCTCAGCGAGCCCAGCATGAGCTCAACTGCTCCCTGCAGGAGCCGGGCAGCAGCCGACCAGCCAACGCCTCAGTCATCCTCAATGTACAATGTGAGTGTGGCCAGGGTCCTCTTCCTGCCCTGGGGGACCCCTGCAGCCACCCTGTAGCCAGCTGGCAAGACACTCAACAAACATTGCAGCCCTATGCAAATATTAGGTCACTTAGTCTCTCTGCTAGTGGGCCTAGGAGGGTCTCACTGCTGTGAGCCAGAATATTGAGGTGCCAAGAGCTTCAGGGATCTGCCCAAGTCTGCCATATGGCAAGAGGCACAGGAGCCAGGGTCCAAATCCAGGCATGTGGGCTCCTGGCATTATGCTCTCCATCACTACAAAAATCTGTCCCCAGACAGACTCAAGCATACTCCCTCCCAACCCCCAAGGAGAGTCTAGGGCCCCTGGCTGGCACCTGGGTTTGGGAGAGAAATGGGGCCGGAAGGATGAGGGACTATGGTGTTGTTCTCTGCTTTGGACCAGTCAAGCCAGAGATTGCACAAGTTGGGGCCAAGTACCCGGATGCTGAGAGCCCGGGCCTCCTAGTTGTCCTGTTTGCCCTGGTACGTGCCAACCCACCTGCCAATGTCACCTGGATCGACCAGGATGGGCCAGTAACCGTCAACACCTCCGACTTCCTGGTGCTGGATGCCCAGAACTACCCCTGGCTGACCAACCACACCGTGCAGCTGCAGCTCCGCAGCCTGGCACACAACCTCTCAGTGGTGGCCGCCAATGATGTGGGTGTCACCAGTGCCTCATTTCCGGCCCCAGGTGAGCCTCTGCCAGCAGGTGGTGCAGCATGCGGCCTCAGGTGGGCTCAGGGGCCACTGCCAGGACATGGGAATGCTTATTGTCCTCTGGGGAGTTTAGTGGGTGAGCTGCCCTTGGCTACCTTGGGCAGGGTGGCGACAGAGAGCAATTGGGGGCATCTTGGGATGGGCAGGGGTGTCTACTTGGAACCTAACCAGGGGACAACCTGCAGGGCTCCTGGCCACCCGGGTGGAGGTGCCGCTGCTGGGCATCGTTGTGGCTGGAGGGCTTGCCCTGGGTACCCTGGTGGGGTTCAGCACCCTGGTGGCCTGCCTGGTCTGCAGGAAAGAGAAGACCAAAGGTAGGGCTGGGAGCACTGGGGAACAGAGGGTGGTCAAGGGTAAGTCAGGGCAGCAGGTGGAGCTTCTGGGCCATGGCCAGGATAAGACAGTGTATAGCCCTGCTTAGTAGGCCCTGGGAACCCCATTTCAGCTGGGCTTTTGAAACTCCTGGTGTGAGGTCCCTGGGGTGAAGGACAAGCCAGCGGCATGGTTTCTTTCTCCTCAGGCCCCTCCCGCCGCACATCTCTCATCTCCAGGTAATGCCTCCTGGGGTTTGGGGTAGACAAATGGGCTGAACCTGGAGGCATATGGGGTCTGGAGGAAATGGGGCCATCTGGGCAGTAGAGAGCAGACCCCCAGGCAGGAGCCTGGGCTGCTGTTGCCAACACGGATTGCAGTCTCTGCCCACCCCATCAGTGACTCCAACAACCTAAAACTCAACAATGTGCGCCTGCCGCGGGAGAACATGTCGCTGCCGTCCAACCTCCAGCTCAATGACCTCACTCCGGAGTGCAGAGGTACACCCTGCCCCACCCCCTGCTGAGGCAGAGCAAAGTCTTGCCACTTTGGGGGGGGCTGCTCCTCATCCTGGCACTATCCCCTCTGTGTCCACAGCAGGGAAACCAGCAGAGCAGCAGCCAGCAGCTCTAAATAGCAGCCGCCCGGAGCTTCAGGACCCAGAGCCTGGTGGCCTCCTCACCAGCCGAGGTACCATGCAGGGAGGGCATCCTACAGCCCCTCTTGGGCTTGAGTGCCAGGGACAGGGAGAACTCCAAGGACCAAAGTCTCTGAATGCCCTGGGCATCTCTGACCTGCCCCCTTTGCAGGCTTCATCCGCCTCCCGATGCTGAGCTACATCTATCGGGTGTCCAGCGTGAGCAGTGATGAGATCTGGCTCTGAGCTGAAAGCGGGACAAGCGCCCTCCTGCTCCCAAACCCCTCCTGTGCACCCTCTCATGCCTCCTCCTCTAAAGCTGCCTCTATCATGCCACACCATGGCCATGTGGCTACCTCCGCTGTGCCCTCTGTCCCATTTCCCTGGGATCTGGCGCCCAGGGGCACAGGTAACCAGGGATCCCCTCAGGTGACTCAGGTTGGGGAGCACAGATGGTTGAGCCCAGGCACAGGGAGCTCTTTGGCCAGATGGATTTCCCTGTCATCCAGCATGCAAGCAGGTGTGGCCTGTGAGACACCAGGCACTGGTCCTGCTCTGCACCTTGTGCAGCAAGCATGAGACTGTGTGTCGGGGGGGAGGCCCCGCATGTCCATGCAATGTAGATGCAACTTGGTTCCCTCAGGACAATGTAGGACCCCCGCTAACTGTCCATTCCCAACCTGTGCTTTGCGTAGGACCCTGCCCTTGGCCTTGGAGGCTTGGCCAAGCACACACTAGTTCTTTTACTACACACCTTTGTGTCCCCTTGCCCTGCCCCCTTGCGGGCATTCTAGGATATGCACTAGACCTTCTCCACTGGGCCCTAGACTGCCCTGAGGCCTGGCCCCTGGGGTTAGCACAAGTCAGGGTGAGACAGAAGGTAGAAAAATCAAGTGGTACTCAGGACCGCATGTAGCTATGCATCGTTTTCTTACAAGATTAGCACTTTAAGCACAGCACCTCCGGAAGGGGGTGAGTGAGGGTCCCAGGGCAACTCCCCACCCCCTGACACCCCTCAGGCCTGACCTCCCAGTGATTCACTGTGAGCAACAGGCTCAGGACTGCATGCCTTCCCCTGGGTGGGACCTTGCCCTGGCTGCCCCATCAGTAGGAAGCCGCTCTTCCTGCCCCACCCTCTGCTCCTTAGGGGCTGGTCCCAGAAGGCAGAGAACTCAACAGTAGCTTTAGGGGGATGCGGAGAGAGTGGGAGGTGGCAAACATCACCCCCAACAACAACCTAAGAATATTTTAAGAAGCAACAAGGCACTGAAGGGAAAGCAATATAGTACAGAGTGTATTTTTCCCTTGCTGAGGTCTTATTTTGTAATTTTCCTCAAGTTACTGTCTAGGACAGTACAAAGCACACAGTAAATTCAATAAACGTGACTGAACCAAGCGCCATGCCTTTGCTTCATTTCTTCAGATGGTTTTTAAATGAAATCTCTGAATCACATGGTGGAATAACTATATAGCAAGTGCCTGTGCACCCGTCACTCAGCTCTGTAGTCAACATTTTACCGAATTTGCTATAGATGTTTTTATTTTTATTTGAAAGGCAGAGTTAGAGAAAATGAGAAAGAGAAATTTAGTCTGCTGGTTCACTCCCCAAATGGCTGCAACAGCCAGAACTTAGTCCATCTGAAGCCAGGAGCCAGGAGCTTCTTCCGAGTCTCCCAAATGGGAACAGGGACCCGAGGACTTGGGTCAACTTCCATTGCCTTCCATTGCCATAAGCATGGGCTAGGTCAGAAGTGGAGCAGCCAGCACTCAATCCAGCACCTCAGGTGGAGGCTTAGCCTACTATGCCAAAGTGCTGCCCTGAATCAACATTTTACTGAATTTGCCAAATCTTTTGTGTTAAAAACAATAAGTATTTGGAGGCCAGTGTTGTGGCATAACAGGCTAGGCTACTGCCTGCAATGCTGGCATCCCATATGAGCACTTATTCAAGTCCTGTTGTTCTACTTCTGGTCCAACTCTCTGCTAATATGTGTGGGAAAGCATCACAAGCCCCTACCACCCATGTGGGAGACCCAGAAGTTTCTGGCTGTTCCTGGCCCAGGCATGGCCGTTGTGGTCATTTCAGGGAATGAACCCAGATGGAAGATTAATTTCTGTTTCTCTCTTAACTACTTTGCTAGGTTTCTTCCACACCCCAAGTAGATGAAATGGCCACAGCCGAACTAATCTGAAGCCAGGAGCTAGAAACCTCTTCTGGACCTCCCATGTGAGTGCAGGGTCCTAAGACTTTGGTCCATCCTCCACTGCTTTCCCAGGCCATAAACAGAGCTGGATGTGAAGTGGAGCAACCAGGATACAAATAAGCACCCATATAGGATGCCAGCAGCACAGGTCGGAGGATTGGGCTATTGAATCACCACACCAACTCCCCAATAAATCAATGTTAAAGCACAGGACCTCGGATCCAGCGTGGTATCTTAGTATATAAGGCCCTCACCAGGATCCCATAAGGGGCGCTGGTTCTAATCCCAGCAGCCCCACTTCTCATCCAACTCCCTGCTTGTGGCCTGGGAAAGCAGTGGAGGATGGCCCAAAACCTTGGGAATCTGCACCCACATGGGAGGCCTGAAAGAGGCTTCTGGCTCCTGGCTTTGGATCAGCTCAGCTCCAGCCATTGCGGTCACTTGGGGAGTGAATCAACATAGAAGATCCTCCTCTCTGTCTCTCCTTCTCTTTGTATATTTGACTTTCCGATGAAAATCTTTAAAACACACACACACAGGACCTCTGGAGATGTCATTTTTGGCCTACCAGATGTTCCATACAGGAGTGTTCCAGGTGAGCTTGAATGTGTTTGCTGCTGAAGCTGGGCTGAGTGCTCTGGTAGGCCTAGTGAACATAACTGTTTTGTTAAGTCCTCTATTTCCTCATTTACCTTCTGTCTGGATGTGTGTGTGTGCATGAAAGAGCCCCCTACCATGACTGGAAGCTGACATGGAACTAGAAGTAGGGGCGTGGACCATAGATGATAGTCAGCTGCTCTATACTCTCAATTGTCCATGCGTCCTTTTGGCAGCCTATGTTTTACACTTTTGTGCCTTCTGTTGGTTATGGCACTGTTTAAAATGGTGTCCACATGCATGGCCACAGGAAAGGCCAAGACCTGTCTTGCAGAGAACACGTGTTAGACAGCCATCACCCTGCATTGAGTTAAATGACTGGAGCTATGTCATGACCAGAGCTCAGGAGTCCAGCCCCGCATTCCCTATGGGAGCAGGGGTTCAGTGTTGACTGACTCGGCGTTCAGTGACCTGGGCCCTAATGACTGTAATGCCATGAACAGAACAGGCAGTGGCCAGTCACAGCGCTGGCCAAGAGGCCACTCTGCTGGCTCCCTGAAAACCTGGGACATTTGAGTCCTTCCACACCACACACCCACCCTGTCAAGAGGCAGGCCTGAGCTGTGAGTCTGTAGGCAACACCTTGTCTTTCATCTTACCACAGTGTTTACAGCATAGCAACTAGGCTGAAGGCCCAGCCCTTCATGAGACCTTCCCCTCCATCACCGTCCACCCTCCTTTCTCCCCATCAGCACCAGCTCCACTATCCATCCCTCTGCTGAAGCCACCAACAGCCAGAAGTCATCTTGATCTTCCTTCTGTGCTTCGTATCTAATCTCTCAGCTACTTTTGTTGGTGACACCTGCACCAATCCTGTATCTGATGCCCCAAGGCCCACACTCTCCCCTGTATCCTCAGCTGTGCATGGCAGGGTTCTCCAGATGCCCTCACCAACTCTTCATTTCTGCCAGGATTGGGGTGGTGGCACCAACAGGAACTGAGATGGTGCAGAGGAAAGCACCTGCCACCGCTGGGTCTGTCCCTACAACAAGGAAGGTGAGGGCCTGTGGGTATGTGTGGTGTCTGTATGTGCCACCTGCACAGCCACTTCTGGCCTGCCTATAGCACCTGCAATGGATACTAGCCTTCAACCTTCATGACCCTCGTGCTCTTCCATTCATTCCTCAGCCCTTTAAACACTTTTGCACCAATTTCTCGTATTAAGCATCATTTGTTAGAATGAACATGGGGGCCAGCATGGCACAATGGGTTGAGCTGCTTTCAGTGGGTTCAAGTCCCAGCTGCTCCACTTCCAATCCAGTTCCCTGCTAATGTACCTGGAGAGCAGCAAAAGGTCCCTATATTTACATGGGAGACCCAGATTGCGTTCGAGGCTCCTGGTTTGGCCCAGCAACCGCCATTGTAGCCGTTTGGGGAGTGAATCAGCAGAGAGATGATCTCTCTCTCCTCCCTCTGGAATTCTTCCTTTAAAATAAATAAATCTTGGGCCTGGCACGATAGCATAGCAGTTAAACTCCTTGCCTTGAATGCACTGGGATCCCATATGGGCGCCAGGTCTAATCCCAGTGGCCTCGCTTCCCATCCAACTCCCTGCTTGTGGCCTGGGAAAGCAGTTGAGGACAGCCCAAGGCCTTGGGACCCTGCACCCACGTGGGAGACGCAGAAGAGGCTCCTGATTCCTGGCTTTGGATCGGCTCAGCTCCAGCCACTGCAGCTGAAGTCCTCGTCTTAAACATGCCGGAATCCCATATGGACACAGGTTCTAATCTCTGCTCTTCATCCCACATTCCTTCTGATGCAGGAGGCAGCAGGTGATGGCTTCAGCACTTGACTCCTTGACTCCTTGACCCTCATGGAGCCCCAGAATTTTGAATTCCTAAAATTCCAAGTGCCCAGCTGATGCAGGCACTTGGAGAATGAAACAGGGAATGACACAGGGTATGAAAGATCATTATACCTTTGCCTTTCAAATAAATATAAAAAAGCCACACGGTTTCATTTGGCTAATATAACTCCCAAATATTCCCAAGTCTGTCCATCTCTACAACATCCACTTTAATCCAAGCCACAACTATCCCATGCTGGGGAGAGCACAGGTGAACGGGCGATATGCTGAGGGGCTGGTATTCTCTGGAGAGTGACCCCTCAAAACATTAAACTCTGGGGGGAACGGGATCCCATCTACTGCTCTTCTGGGTGATGTCAGTTCCCAATGCTGGTTTACTGACCACTTAACGCTCTTAGGATGGGGCCAACTTCCTGGCCTCGCCTTCAGCTCGCTCCATTAGCCTCCTCTCTTTCATTAAAAAAAAAAAAAAAAGGGCCCGGCGCAGTGGTTAAGGTCCTCGCCTTGCACGCCCGGGATCCCATATGGGTGCCGGTTCTATCCCAGCAGCCCAGCTTCCCTTCCAGCTCCCTGCCTGTTGCTCAGGAAAGCAGTCGAGGACGGCCCAAAGCTTTGGGAACCTGCACCCGCGTGGGAGACCTGGAAGAGGCTCCTGGCTTCGGATCAGCATAGCATCGGCCATTGCGCTCACTTGGGGAGTGAATCATCGGACGGAAGATCTTCCTCTCTGTATATCTGCCTTTCCAATAAAAAAAATAATAATAAAAATAAATCTTAAAAAAAAAAAGGCAGGAACCCCCGACAGATAGGGTATTTTATTTGTAAAATCTTGGCCAATTAACTCAAAGATCATCCCATTCCTATCCCAAAAAGAACATCTTTTAGGCTTTCCTCTGCAACCCTTCAGTAAATTCCAATTCTTCTCAGGGCAGTCTCCACAGTGGGAAGACGTGTAACTACCCAGGGAGAGCCATCTGGGAGCCACCAGTGCCCTGGCTGAGGCAGGCTGAGCCGCTGGCGGCTGACAGCCATCTCTCTGCCTCAGCGAGGGCAGAGCTGCAGCTCGGCGTTGAAACAGAGCTGCTGGCAGCGTGTCTCAGCTGAAGGTCAGTGTCTCCACATCTCCAGCTTGGGAGGTGGAGTTGGATGGAGGGGAGAATGTTTTCTTGCCCTCAGCCAGAGCTTTAAAATGCTGCAAGGAAAGAGGAGAGACACACAATTTAGGGGATCATAGGGACCACCACTGTACCACATCTCAAAAAACTCTCTCAGCTGCGACTTTGACCTAACTCTGCTTCCAGGGTCTCTGCAGCACGTGAATTCGCTGATGCAGCAGCTCAGCTGGCTGCCGTGACAGCTAAGCCACTGTTTGGGACCTGCACATCCCACTCCCATCAGAGTATCCGAGTTCAGGCCCTAGCTTTGTCCCTAGCTGCGGCTTCCTGCTTCTGCAACCTGGCCGCTGCACCACCAGGGGGACAGCTAAACGACTCAGGTCCCTGCTACCTCCACAGGAGACACAGATGGGAGTTTTGAGTTCCTGGATTCGGCTTGGCCTATCCCTGGCCACTGTGGTTACCTGGGGCATCAACCAGCAGATGGAAGGTCTCTGTCCATCTGTCTTTCAGCTTCTCCAATAAAAAAAAACTCCATAGAGCCCAGTGCAATAGCATAGTGGTTAAAGTCCTAGCCTTGAATGTGCCGGGATTCCTTATGGGTGCCGGTTCTAATCCCGGCGACCTTGCTTCCCATCCACTCCGTGCCTGTGGCCTGGGAATGCAGTTGAGGACGGCCCAAAGCTTTGGGATCCTGCACCCGTGTGGGAGACCCGGAGGAAGCTCCTGGCTCCTGGCTTCAGATTGGTTCAGCTCCAGCCGTTGCAGCTGCTTGGGGAATGAACCATTGAATGGAAGATCTTCCTCTCTGTTTCTCCCCCTCTCTGTATATCTGACTTTGCAATAAAACTAAATAAAAATTAAAAAAAAAATAACTCCATAAAGATTCAGAAAAGGAGCACTTGTACTTCCTTCCGGCTTCCACTCACGGGGCCGCTTGGTGAGATTTCTCCCAGCTCCCTGAGGCCCACACCTTCCCACCATCCCCTCCGCATCCTCCTCTCCCCCGCCCCTGAGCTGCTCTCCTGGCTGTGGGGAAGGGCAGTGGGGACGGCAGGCAGAGCCGTGCTCTGTCCTTGGAACACCGCCGCTGTAATCCCAGAGGACACCACCGGGACCTCGAGTGCAGCCCAAGTCGACCACTGACTGAGGTCCCACCTGCGAATTCTTGAACTCCGAGTAGAGGGAGAACAGCAGGTGCAGGGACTGAATCCGGCTCTTGTAGACAGGGATGTCCAGGATGGCTGAAATGAAGACAATGTTCCAGAAACAGAACCAAACGCACTCAGGGAGGGGTGAGAGGAGAGTGACGGGACACTTGTGTCTAGGAAGCCAGTCTTCTCCCAGGTAGGCCCCCCAGCCTCACCCCTGAGTGCTGCTAGAGCACAGCGCGCTAACGGGAGGTTGTGAGGCCAGCTGCTCTTTTTGCAGTGCACATGGCCTTTCCAGCCTTACAGGGCAGGGTGGGTGCGGAGGGCAGCATACCACAGATCATGTCGATGTACTCAGCCAGGCTGCAGTCAATCTCCGCCGTGGGCAGGCTCACCTGCAGGGGGCACATCCAAGGCCAGAAAGGGTTTCACCTTGCTGCCGCCAGCCTCATCTCATTCAGGACAGGAGCCTCTGAACTGTGATCCCCAGCCCACGTTCACGTGGAAGCCCAAACCCCTCATACTTCAGAACCATGGCTGTGCCTGCAGGGAAGGTCTCTTCGGAGACAACTGGCCATGAGACCACTCGTCCCATCCGACCGGTGCTCTTACCACAAGAGATCAGGGCAGACACACCCGAAGTGAAAACTGTGTGGAGACAGGGAGGTGGCCAAGAAGAAACCAGCCCTGCCCACAACCTGACCTTGGAATTCCAACTCCAAGATTGCAGGAGAATCCTCTGGGTTGTTTCAGTCACCCCCAGTCTGTGACATTTTGCATAGCAGCCCCTGCCAACTCACACGGCACACAACGCCTGCCCCCAGCCAACCAGGCAGAACTGGTCATGCCCATGAACTACCAAAGTGAAGAGACTGTGTAACTAAAATACATGGTCAGATAGTCCTTCTGTGTGGATCTGTAAAGCAGCAGCGGGTCATGGCCATGCGCTGTGATGTGTTGGGGCTGTGATGCCCTAGGGCTCAGAGACCCCATGAGAACAGGGAAAAGGAACATGACGTCTTACCCAGCTGGTTTAAACAAATCATGTGGCAAGTTTAAAAACCACAGACTTCTTAACAATTTTTCCTTAAAATGAATAAATAAATAATAAAAATAATATTGGCTAATCCTCTGTGAGCGCCAGCTCTTGTCCCAGCAGCTCCACTTCCCAACCAGCTTCCTGCATGTGGCCTAGAAAAGCAGTTGAGGATGGCCCAAAGCCTTGGGACCCTGCACCCGCGTGGGAGACCCAGAAGAAGCTCCTGACTCCAAGATTTGGACCAGCACAGCTCTGACCATTGTGGTTACTTGGGGAGTGAATCAGCAGATAGAAGATCTTTCTCTCTCCATCTCTCCATCTCGCCTCCTCTCTGTAAATCTGCCTTTCCAATAAAAAGTAAAAAATAAATCTTAAAAAAATTAAAAATTAGAGTTTTGCAATTTGTTTTCTTCAATGTAACATGTTGCCGCTATGTCTCAGAAAAACAATTCCAAACATGATTCCCTGGCACAGTCCAATGCGCTAATCACACCGTGGAAGTGTTGTGAAGAAAGAAGTTGTTTCTTCTGTATGCTAACAAAAACTCTGTCTTCATGGAGCTCGCATTTTTTTTTTTCCATTGGAAAGGCGGTTATACAGAGAGGAGAGACAGAGAGGAAGATCTTCCATCCGATGATTCACTCCCCAAGTGAGCGCAACGGGCCGATACTATGCCGATCCGAGGCCAGGAGCCTCTTCCGGGTCTCCCACGTGGGTGCAGGGTCCCAAAGCTTTGGGCTGTCCTCAACTGCTTTCCCAGGCCACAGGCAGGGAGCTGGAAGGGAAGCGGGGCTGCCAGGATTAGAACCGGCGCCCATATGGGATCCCGGGCGTGCAAGGCGAGGACCTTTAACCACTTGCGCCACCGCGCCGGGCCCGAGCTCGCATTTTAACAGGGAGGAAAAGGAAAAAGCCAGTGAGTCATTAGGGATATATAGTGTATCAGGACGTAAGTGGAAGGGGAAGCACCATGGTATAGTAAGCTAAGCTTCTGCCTGCAGTGCCAGTGTCCCATATGGGTGCTAGCTCAAGTCCCAGCTGCTCCATTCCTCATCCGACTCCCTGCAAATGCATTTGGGAAAGAAGAGGAAGACGACCCAAGTCACTGAGCCCTGCCATCCACATGAGAGATCCAGTTGGGGTTTTAGCCTCCTGGCTTTGCCCTAGCCTAGCCCTGGCCATTGCAGGCACCCGAGAGGTGAACTTCATTAAACTTTCTTAATGTGCTTCCAAAACGGGCTTACAATCTTTTATTAAAATTACTCCTGGGTATCTTTTTTAATTTGGGGTTATTATATATGAGACACTAACTTTTTAGAATAACACAGTATCTCCTATGGAAATGACAGAATCTAAATTAATATCGGAAGTACATGTTCACCAAAAAACATGTTATAATGTTCCCCAATTGCACTCTGTGTGATAACCAAAAACTGGAAACTTCCCACATGCCCTCATGGAATGAATAAACCAATTATTATATATTTCAATGATGGGATTCCATATAGAAGTAACAACAAACGAACAATTGCATGGGACAATGCAGAGAAATATCCCAAAATTTTAGGCAAAAGAAGACACAACAGTGTGAGTAAATATAAATAAAATAGGAGCCAGACCATTGCGGCACATTAAGTGAAGCTGCTGCTGCTTGCTAATGTCTGCATCCATGTAGGAGTATGGTGCAGATCCCAGATGCTACACTTCTTTTTTTTTTAAGATTTATTTATTTTTGGGCACAGCACAATAGCGTAATGGTTAAGGTCCTCACCTTGAACACACCAGGATCCCATATGGGTGCCGGTTCTAATCCAAGCAGCTCTACTTCCCATCCAGCTCCCTTCTTGTGGCCTGGGAAAGCAGTCAAGGATGGCCCAAAGTCTTGGGATCCTGCACCCGCGTGGGAGACCTGGAAGAAGTTTCTGACTCCTGGCTTCAGATTGGCTCAGCTCTGGCCATTGCAGCCACTTGGGGAGTAAATCATCGGACGGAAGATCTCCCTGTCTCTCCTTTCTGTACATCTGCTTTTCCAATAAAATAAATAAATCTTAAAAAAAGGAAAAAAGCTAAAAAAAAAAAAAAAACACCCTATTTAAAAAAAAAAGCTGAAAAAACTTAAGAGAAAAATTTAAAAACAAAGAAACTAAAAAACCCTGCAGGCAAATCTAGTCTAAACTGTTAGCAATCAGGATATTGACAACATTAGCAAGTGGGAGCCTGGGGACCCCCAAAGAATCTGGCAGTGTTCTGAGTGCTGATCCAGTGTGCTGCTCACACAGTTTATTCAGCAATGACCTCTTCGTGCTTGGAGTGGTGAAACTGGTAGCAATTCATAACTGTTGAATTATCAAAACCACTTGAGCAAGACCCTCGGAGCATGCCCCACATGAGGGACCTGGGGTAGGTGGGAGACTAAGTGGGGCTTCTCCCTTTATCTCCCCCTTCTTCTGGGTCCCCCATGTGGGTGCAGGGTCCCAAGGATACATGAAGGAAACAATGTAGAAATAATAGTCTTACCCACTTTCCAGTAGCCCTTGAACCTTTTTACCCTAATTAACTAAGTAAGAATATAATTAACAAAATGAAAAAAAAAAAAACAGTGTTTTCAGGCAGCACAAACACACCAATGCATACTTCTTGTGTACATTGCTGTGTATCACATTTTAATTCATATTGTTTCAAAAATTTATTTATCTTTTTGAAAGAGAGGGAGAGACAGAGAAAGAGACATCTTCCATCTGCTGGCTCACTCCCCAGATGGTTGCAAAGGCCGGGGCTGGACCAGGCTGAAGCCAGGAGCTTCTGGGTCTCCCATGTGGGTTGCAATGGCCCAAGGACTTTTGAGCCACCTCCTGTTGCTTCACCCAGGGAGCTGGATGGGACATGGAGCAGCCAGAACAGGAACTGGCCTTACCGCACTAAGCCTCCATGCTGGTCCCTATACTTCCATTTCATAACTGTTCATAACAATGTAGGGACAGGACACTGGCCGCCGGGGAGAAGGCCGCATCCATCTTACCTCCTGCTCCTTTCCACTCACCTTGCCCAAAAGCTCCTCAAATTCTGGGGACCACTCCTGCATCAGTGTGTCGATGTCCGGCATGGGCCTAGGAGAACAGCAGTAAATAGAAAGAGGAAGCCCGGCCTAAGGGCAGCAGCAGCCCCTGCTGGGGGGATGCCGCCGGCATGAAGCTTGTTAGGATTCCAGGAGAACCTAGGCTGAGCAAAACTAATTTCTCCATGGCCCCTGGAGTTTGGAGAAGATAATCCCAGAGACATCAGAATCCTTGTATTTACAATGTGGACCAGCAGTCACACAGGCGCCCAGGACTCAGTCTTTGAGACTCTTCTTGGGCGCTCTGGTTGCAGGTGGCCTGAGTTACCGAGGGCTCCCTCTTACCTGGTGTAGTGCACGATGGCAGGGGGCTTGGAGCGGTGCAACTCACAGATGCTCTCAATCCACGTGTCGATAGCCTTGGGATTCTTTTCTGCATCTTCCAGGCTCTTGACTTTCATATGTTGCTGGGAAAAATGAGGAGAGGACCTGGCTGCCAGGGCTGAAGCAGCTCTCTGGGTTGTAACGGGGTAACTCATGAGGAAGCTGAGGCAACGGGGAAGCTAATGACAGCCGAAGTTAGGCGTGGGGAAGCCTGAAACGTGCTCCAGCAGCCATCGCGGGGCCAATCCACAGGGCAGGGCTGGCACAGGGAAGCACCGTTTCCTGCTGCAAGGAGGGCCAGGACCCACAAGACAGATGCTAACAAGCACTGGAGAGGCTGGCAGTGGGAAAACCAGAGAGCCTCTCCCACAGCTGTTGGCACTACCACAAGGTGTGGCCACTTTGGAAATCAGGCTGGCAGCGCCTCAGACACACTGGTGAGAGCCTGCGGTCCGGCAACCTGCTCTGATGTATATGCGAGAGAAGCAACAACAGGTGCCCATGCAGAATTTGTACTCGGATGTTCACTGCAGCACCGCTAACTGAAGTGGAAGCAGCTGGTGGGTGGACAAAGTGTGGTATAGCCATACAACTGAACCTCACTCGGCCAGAGCCACGGACTAAAGTGGCAGCCACCGCCTGGGCATGCGAGGGTGGAAGGAAGAGGAGTGACTGCATGGAGCGGTTGTGGGGGGCGGTCTGTCTGGAACAAGGACAGTGTTTCTAAGATGGTGACGATGGCTGTGCGGCTCTGTGAACCCACCCAACACTAACAAGCTGCACAACGGAAAGGGAGGGCGATGCAGCATGTGGATTAGATCTCAGATGAAGTGTCGGTAAAAGAAGGTAGGGTTGGCCCAGAGCCCTAACCATCCCTTCAACAGGCGGGAAGCACGGGCACAAATGGCATTGTCGTCATCTCCTCCGGCTGGCGCCTGGGATGGGCCAAATCTTACCGTGATGTTGTGCTGCTTGGAGTTTTCTGTCAACCACAGTGAGAGCACTGTGGGGTCAGACTGCTTTGTAGAAGGTTCATCCAGCACCAACAGGCCAAGGTTGTCAGGCTTTCCATCAGGACGTGGGACCTGGTTAAGCGAAAGGTAAGAAAGCAGAGAAATAGCAGAAGAGGCCGCAACAGGGTCACACCTGCTGCTTCCAATGAGCTCAAGAAGAAAAACTCTTCTAGTTCATATTATTCTCTGTATTCAAAGCATGCTGGGTTAGGGCTGCCATCCCACGTAGGAGCTGGTTTGAGACCTGACTGCTCCACTTCCAATCTAGTTCCTTGCAAATGTGTTTTGGAAAGCAGTAGAAGATGATTCAAGTGCTTGGTTCACTGTACCCATTTGGGAGCCCATGAGGAAAACTCTGGCTCCTGGCTTTGGCACAGCCCCTGCCATTGAGGCTACTTGGGGAGTAAACCAGCAGAAGGAAGTTCTCTACCTCTCCGTATCTCTCCCAATCTCTGTAACTTTGCTTTTTAAATCAAATACAAATATATGATTTTTGGGCCCAGCGCAATAGCATAGCAGCTAAAGTCCTAGCCTTGAACACACCGGGTTCCATATGGGCACTGGTTCTACTCCCGGCAGCCCTGCTTCCCATCCGGCTCCCTGCTTGTGGCCTGGAAGGGCAGCTGAGGATAGCCCAGGGCCTTGGGACTGTGCACCCACATGGGAGGCCCAGAGGAAGGAAGCTTCTGGCTTCAGATCGGCTCAGCTGCAGCTGTTGCAGCCAGTTGGGGAGTGAACCACTGGACAGAAGATCTTCCTCTCTGTCTCTCCTCCTCTCTGTATATCTGCCTTTCCAATAAAAATAAATAAATCTTTAAAAAAAGAAACATATTTTTTTTCTTTAAAAGTATGCTGGGGTCAACATTGGTTCTACAGTGGGTTAAACCACCACTTCATCACCAGCATTCTCTATTTATCCATATGTGAGTGCCAGTTGCTCCATTTCCGACCCAGTTCTCCGCTAACAGACCTTCTAAGGCAGGCGCTGATGGCCCAAGTGTTTGGGCACCAGCCAGCCTGGCCCTGCCCTGGCTGTTATGGCCATGTATAGAGAGTGAACCAGTCAAAGGAAGATATTTCTCTTTCTCCCCCTCTCTCTGATGCTCTGCCTTTCAAATAAATACTAAATACTAGGGAAACAAACAAGTATGCTTATTATCACACTGTACTAAATACAACCTAGGGAAAAAAATACATGATCAACAGGACCCTAAATATAAAGCTAAAACTCAAAATTAGGATATCAATGACAAGGTTTTGACATATAATGAGATAATAAAATATTAACAGTAATGAATATAATTTGGACTAGAGAGCAAGGTTAAGAATCCCAGTGAAATGAGTATATTATCACAGTAGCCAATGCAAGTCCATGAAGTTAGGGGAACTGTTAGAGTAACGGGGGGAGGGCAGAAACATTCAAGGAGCCAGTTCCAGGCCTTTGGTACCTTTAAGAACGCATCAATGTCCCCAACAGCTGGGATGAAATCCGGGATGAAAGGTTTCAGCTTGTGTTCCAGGTCAATGAGCTGGGGTGTGTACCTAGGGGATTGCCAAGAGAGTGGAGAGAGTCAGAGAAAGTCACCTCCTGTTTGGGTGGGAAAATCAGAAGGAGAATGGGTCCATTTCAGATAAGCAGTGGGAAAGGCGGGGCGGGTGGGAGGCCCGGGCTCACCTGCTGATGTACTGGAAGAGTTCCTTAATCTCGGCGGACACTGGCAGGTGCTCATACTCTGCAGGATCGTAGGCCCTGTGGAGAGGGAAAGTCCTACGGTCCAAGGTGTCCAGGGCACAGTGGAGGGGGTGTCCCCAGGGCCACGACCCTGAACCTGGCTTCTGACCTTCCCACATCTGCCCTTCGATGGTGTGAAAGGCAGCCTTAAAGTTGACTATAATTATTTTTCAGTCACCTCTGACAGTGAAGCACAGAGCCACAGAAACTCTAAACTATAATTCTTCTCATGCTAAATGGTAACAAAAACTGTTTCTGCCTTTTTTTTTTAAATGAAAGAATTAATGAGAACATAAAGAAGAAGAAATTTTGATTTCTGACATGAACATACTTTACACTAAGAAAAAAAATTACAGATGGGTTTAACAATGTTTAGCAATGTCAAATCACTGGAAACAAATAAAATATCCAACTTCTGGAAGATGTTAAATTTGTCAAACTGAACTCCACAGAGCTTATCAAGAGCCCTGTGAGGGGCAGGTGTTCGGCCTGATGGCTACAAAACTGATTTGGATACCTACGTTCTGTACGGAATGCCTGGTTCCTGTCTCGCATCCATTCCTGACTCCAGTTTCCTGTTAAGGCACACCCTGAGAGGCAATGGGTGATGGTCCAACTACTTGCCCTGGATCCCAGATTTAACCGGGACCAATCCCCCACACCAGGGGCATTTGAGAAGTGAACTAGCAGATCAAAGTTCTCTGTTTCTCTGCATTTCAAATATATTAACTTCTTTAAAAAGTAAAAGTATAGGGCCTGGCAGCGTGGCCTAGTGGCTAAAGTCCTCGCCTTGAACGCCCCACCAGGATCCCATATGCGCGCCGGTTCTGATCCCAGCAGCTCCACTTCCCATCCAGCTCCCTGCTTGTGGCCTGGGAGAGCAGTTGAGGACGGCCCAAAGCTTTGGGACCCTGCACCCGCGTGGGAGATCGGAAGAGGTTCCTGGTTCCCAGCTTTGTATCGGTGCAGCACTGGCCGTTGTGGCCACTTGAGAAGTGAATCATCGGACAGAAGATCTTCCTCTCTGTCTCTCCTCCTCTCTGTACATCTGCCTTTCCAATAAAAAAATAAAATAAACCTTAAAAAAAAAAAAAACAGTAGTGCATATAGCATTAATTATAATAACAAAGTGAAATAAACGCTGGTAACATATATTGAGTTATGAGGTTATTAAGGTGTTTCTGGTAACACTTCAAAAAAATTGAAGATACTGATGACTTTAAACTTACATTTCCTCCAGCTTGGGGAGTAGCACAGCACAGCAAGCTGCCACCTGCAACCCCAGCATTGGCATCCCAAGTCAGAGTGCTAGTTCAAGTCCTGGCTGTCCCACTTCTATCCAGCCGCGTGCCAACGCTCCCGGGAGGACAGGAGAAGGCAGTCCGAGTCCTTGGGCCCTCTACCCTTTTAGGAGACCTGGATGGAGTTCCAGGCTCCTGGCTCTGAATGGCCTAATCAATGACCAATATGAACCAGCAGATGAAAGGCTTCTCTTTCTTTGAAACAAATAGATTTTAATTGCATTTTCCCAGAATATATTCACAGAAATAGAATACGGTCCTGAAGCAAACTGGGAAGTCAGTCTAGGGTAAACATTTGCTTAATTTACTTAGCACCCGCCTGCCAGGAGATATTCCAAAGTTAACTATATTTTTAAAAAATTTTTTACTAAACTGCTTCATTTAACAACAATGTATGCATATGGGAAATACAATGAAAAGTTTATGTCTTTCTCTCACCTGTCCCCTTGTCGCCAGAGGTTCCTCACTCAAAGTGACTACTAGCGTTAGTTTCCTAGTGTCTTCCAAAGGCGGTTCTGACACTTTGCACACACGGGAACACAGCTCAAACTCCTCCCGACCTTCTCCAAACTGAGCAGTTCCTCACCAGTGCACAGAATGTGGCCACAAACCTTTCAATGACTAGGCAGAATTCTGCTGACTGACCATCATTTATTGAAGCAAGCAATTACCTTGGAAATCGATGAGGCCTTAGAATGCACTTGGAATAAAGCCCAGGGAGGTGAATCTCGACTAAGGCAGCAAGCTGGAATGTTCTCATTGCCCAAGGAAGGTGGGGTTTCCCAAGCACCTATTCCCTGGCTGCCCCTAAAAGTCTGAGCCCAAACCAGAGGCTAAGCACCAGGCTGAGCTTCTCTGCTAAGCACAAACACTTTGGCCCACTGCAAGTGTATTTTCCCTGGCTCGGACCATGAACTACTTGAAGGCAGGTGCCGTCTGGTAGGTTAGCTCAGGAAAGCTCCATCTAGTCCTGAGTCCTCCAGCGTGGCAGACACAAGAGAGACCACGGGCGTGGGGGAGGGTGCTGAGCAGGGGGTTCGCCTCGCAAGGACTGTCCACGCAGGCGCCTTTCCTCACCCTTCCAGAGGGGCACCATGCTCTTCATCATCGTCTGTGTCAGAGTCACTCTCAGAGGAGTCGTCATCGTCGTCGTCGTCATCGTCATTCTCGCTGAAGCCCCGCTGTGAGGTCATCTGGGGGTTGGTCTTCTTCTTCTCCTGAGACAGGGCAGGGGCAGGCAAAGACAGGTCCACAGAGAGAGGAGCTCAACACACCCATGCCCAGGGCTCTTCCGCTCTCGCCAGCGCCCCCAGCCCCGCACCTAGCACCCAACCACCTGCAGACAAGCTGCCACTCGAGAGCCACCTTCTGCCCCGTCAGCTACACACCAAATCCTCCGTTTCTAGACCCACACCACGTGTCTCTGCCTATGGTACCTGTTCCCTAGGCATAGCTCTGCATAGGCTTTATGTAGCCTACTTCAACCCTAAAGCTTAAGGGCTTTCATATAGGACAGCAACGCTCATTAGTTTGAAGGCCTCTGCCATATGGGATGCCAGTTCAAGTCCCAGCTGCCCTACTTCAGATCCAACTCTCTGCTCATGGCCTGGGAAAGTAGTAGAGGATGGCCCAAGTGTTTGGGCCCCTGTAGCCATGTGGGGAGACTAGGAAGAAACTCCTGGCTTCAGACTGCCTAGCTCCGATTGTTGTTTGGGGAGTGAACCAGCAGATAGAAGATCTCTCTCTTAATTTCTCTGTAACTCTGCCTTTCAAATAAACAAATCTTTCTAAAAACAAGCAGGGCCTGACATGATGGCTCAGCAGCTAAATACTCGCCTTGCAAGGGCTGGGTCCCGGATGGGTGCCAGGTCATGTCCTGGCTGCTCCACTTCCCTTCTAGTTCTCTGCTCATAGCCTGGGAAAGCAGTAGAGAGTGACCCAAAGCCTTGAGACCCTGTATCCACATGGGAGACCCGAAAGGAGCTCCCAGCTCTTGGCTTCAGATCAGTTCAGCTTCAGCCATTGAGGCCACTTGGAGAGTAACCCAGTGGACAGAAGGTATTTCTATATCTCATTCCCTCTATAAATCTGACTTTCCAATAAAAATAAACCCTTTTTTTATAAAATGAAACTAGCAAAACAATTATTTAAGGAGAAAATGAACAAAGAGGAAGCAGGGGAGACTTAGAAAGATTTGAATACTCACAGGGGTCAGGGAAGGGGAACCTAGCATTTCATTTGCAGGATAGTTATGAGTAAGCTGCCTGGAATTAGAAAAAGAAAGCCAGCAGTCTTCCCGTGCCTGCCTTCGGACCCACTGAGACAGGGGTCAGGAGTATCCTCTTTGCCTACACGGGGCACCTGGCCTGTCCACATGTCCCTCCCTTCCCCCTAAGGTAAATACAGCGAGTCCCATCTGTCTCAAGCACTCCATGACAACCTACCTTACTGAGCTGATGCCTCTCTCTGTACCATCCCACCCTCTCCAGTCCACGAGAAGAGGGCTGGTGGTGCTTGGGACTTGCGGGGGCAGTTGGAATGGGGTCCGTGTCCTTGCCTCTGTGGCTTGCAGCCTGTGGCATGCCCTCGCTTAGGACCTGAAGGATGACCAATTGGCCCCCTTTAAAGTAGGTTTTGAAAGCTTATAGCATATGGCTTATATTAATGGGGGTTTGTTTCTAGTTTTTATTTTAAAAATTTAATACTTCACTTATGATCAAACAACTACTGGCACATCACAGGATATCAAAAAGTGAACTGGGTTACATTTACCTCTAAGAATATCCAATTTATTATACAGTGGTAAAACTATACTCTAACTTATCTTTAATTTATATGACAAACGTGACACATACTTGCATAATTTATTCAGTGACTATGCCTTATTGCACTACAATTGACAAGAACCTTATACATAATTCTTTCTCGATATCAGATATGCCAAAATGATCTCTTGATTACCCAGGAAACAGTTTTGGCAAAGCAAATTTTTTAGGAATATTGCCAAAACTGGATCAGATCTGCTGGTTCTTGCTACGGTACAAATTGCCAAGCTACATAAGCCTTGGTCCTGACCACACGTTGAAACCAGGAAGAATTTAGGGTGGACACAAAATCAAGAGGCCAATTTACGACACCTACACAGGTACACTTGTAGCTCATCTGCTGCTTAAAAATTGTTCTCTCTGGGCCCAGCACAGTAGCTTAGCAGCTGAAGTCCTCGCTTTGAACACACTGGGATCCTATACGGGTGGCAGTTCTAATCCCAGCAGCCCCCCTTCCCATCCAGCTCCCTGCTTGTGGCCTGGGAAAGCAGTCAAGGATGGCCCAAAGCCTTGGGATCCTGCACCCTCGTGGGAGACCTGGAAGAAGCTCCTGGCTCCTGGCTTCGGATCAGATCAATAATGGCCATTGTGGCCATTTGGGGAGTGAACCAGCAGATGGAAAACCTCTCTCTCTCCTCTTTCTAAAAAATCTGCTTTTCAAATAAAAATAAATTTAAAAATAAAGATTTCAAAATTAAAATCTTATCCACAAAATATTGACAGTATTATATTTGATGACAATGAAAAAATGCTTAGACCAATTAATTCCAAACTTGCTATGGCATAACAATTACCTGAACGGCTTACAGAATACATAAATGTTCTGGCTTTTTTTTTCAGGATTCCGGGAGGGGAGGCAAGATGTGCAATTATAAAAATAATTTCGGGGCCAGCGGCTTGGCCTAGCGGCTAAAGTCCTTGCCTTGGGCGCGCTGGGATCGCATATGGGAGCCAGTTCTGATCCCAGCAGCCCTGCTTCCCTTCCAGCTCCCTGCCTGTGGCCTGGGAAAGCAGTTGAAGACGGCCCAAAGCTTTGGGACCCTGCACCCGTGTGGGATGCCTGGAAGAAGTTCCTGGATCCTGGCTTCAGATCGGCATAGCATCGGCCGTTGCGCTCAGTTGGGGAGTGTATCATTGGACGGAAGATCTTCCTCTCTGTCTTTCCTCTTTGTATATCTGACTTTCCAATAAATAAATAAATCTTAAAAAAAAAAAAAAACATTTCTCAGGCCTGGTGTGGTAGCCTAGTGGCTAAATCCTTACTTTGCACGTGCAGGAATCCAGTATGAGCACCGATTCATATCCTAACTGCTCCACTTCCCAGCCTGCTCTCTGACTGTGGCCTAGGAAAGCAATGGAGGATGGACCAAAGCCTTGGGACCCTGCACCCACGTGGGAGACGTGGAAGAACCTCCTGACTTTGGATCAGCTTAGCTCTGACTGTTGTGATCACCTGGGGAGTAAGTCAGGGGATGAAAGATTTTTCTTTCTGACTCTCCTCTCTGTAAATTTGCCTTTCCAATAAAAATGAATAAATCTTTTCAAAAAGCAAGTTCTCCCGGTGACTCTTATCATCAGTAAATTATGTAGAGCACTGATCCGCAAGATATGAATATCTTAAAAGAAAAAAAAGAAAAGAAATCTGAACCTGGCGTGGTAACCTAAAGTCCTTGCCTTGCATGCACCAGGATCCCATATGGGCACCAGTTCTAATCCCTGTTGCTCCACTTCCCTTCCGGCTCCCTGCTTGTGGCCTGGGAGAGCAGTCGAGGATGGCCCAGAGCCTTGGGACCCTGCACCTGTGTGGGAGACCCACAAGCTCCTGGCTCCTGGCTTCGGATCAGCTCAGCTCCAGCAGTTGTGGCCACTTGGAGCATGACCCAATGGGTTGAGGATCTCTCTCTCTGTATCTCCTTCTCTCTATGTATCCACCTTTCCAATAAAATTTAAAACATATTTTAAACGTCCACTAAGTAACAGGCTTTACCCCTGAAGAACAGACAAATCTCCCAGCACTTGGCCTGCCTTCCTCCAGGAGCCAGGACGATTCCCACCACTGCAGGTGGGAGCGTTCCAGAAAGCACTTACTGTCAAGTTGCCCTCATCTGAAACCAACCACACAAACCCAAAGCCCAAGTGCCCCAGGCGTCGGGAGGCCTAGCTGTACCTTGTTACTTTCCTCTTCATACTCGTCGCTGCTGTTGTCAGCCATGCTCTGGCCGTGGAGCCGGGCAGAATGAAGAAGTCCTTAGAAGACAAGTTTTCCGTTTAGGTTGGTATTGTTCAGATGATTTCTAAGGAGGACTCTTTTTAAAAGGTTTATAATATTTTTAGGGAATAGCATTTCTAAGATCACCTCTCTAAAGGACAGGAGACTGGGAGGAAGGGAGGAATCGGGAATTACTGTTTAATCAGGAGGCAGCTTCCGGTAAGGTGATGAGGGAAGAAATGAAGATTGACATTGGTAATGGTTACACAACACTGTGAATATGCTTAATGGAACTTCATGTCACATTGAAAACAGTAAATTTTGTTGTATATGCTTTATCATAAGAAATGAGTAACAACTCTGTGTCAAGAGTCACATCCATGGGCTAACGCAGTGAATGAGTTAAGCCACGGCTTCAAATGCCAGCATCCCGTATGGAGTACCGGTTCGTCGGTTTGAATCCTGGTTGCTCCACTTCTGATCTAACATTCCTGGCTAAGAGCTTTGGTCTGGCCCAGCCCTGGACACTGTGATACTTTGGCAAATGAGCAATGGAAAATCTCTCACCTTCTATCGCTCTGCCTTTCAAATAAGTGAATCCCTTTTTGCTTTTTGTTAGTCTAATCCAAAGTACCCCTACATCTTCATGATGTCACAATGTCAGTGTCTTGTATTTGCCTTGTATTTCTATCCTTGACTTCCTTACCATAGCCCAACGCGCCATCATCTCAACTCAGCCACAGTTCTTCCAATTGGTTTCCCATACTCATCTTTGCATCTTTCTGTCCTTTCCACACAGTCTTCAAAGCTGTCCACCACGCCTCTCACCTGCCTCTCTAACATGGTCACATGCCACTCTCCCTCATATGGGTCTTTTCCAGGTCCCCGCTCAGGCCTCAGTGCCTCTCCCATTTCACTGGCTCTTTCCTCTTCCTGGCCTGTTTTTCCTCAGTGTCTGGACTCTCATCTTTTAGTCACAAGCATCGTCCTCCTTGGGTCTTTTTTGACCACTCTAATCAGAAATAGCTCACTTTCTTCACCATTCTTTTCATAACAGCCAGCAATTCTTGTTTCCATCATTATGCTTGTCACATTGGCCATTAAGTTTGTTTCTCCCATGTGTCATCTGTCTTCCATGATTCTAAGCAATAGGGCAGCAGGGCCAATGTATCTGTCTTCTGTATCATATACTGTCTGTTAGATAAACCAGCAGTGCCAGGTCCTCTACGGAGATCCACTGAACTTCTGGTTAGGATGCAATTAACATCAGGTACTGAAAGATCTTCAGAACTGAGCAAAACACAATTTCGATGTTAAAAAAAAAAAAAAAGCCCAATCATCACTGCCATAGTGAATTCTTGGCCAACTCTAAGCAAAGCAGTGACACCAAGTAAATGGTGATGAGGGGGTGGGCACTTCAGCCACCTAGGACTCCCATGTCTCATGCTGGATTTTCAGTCCAGGTCCTGGCTACTCTGCTTAGGATCCAGCTTTCTGTGGATGCATCTTGAAGACAAACGATCAGTCAAGTGCTTGGGCTGCAGCTACCACACAGGAGGCCTGGGTACAGGGCTGCACCCCTGGCATCAGCCTGGCCCAGGCGTGGCTGTCATGGGCATTTGGACAGTGAACCAGCAGACAGATCTCTCCTCTGTTTCCTCTCTCTTTCTCTCTCTCTCTCTCTTTAAGCTGTGAGGTTTCCTTCTTAACTACTCAGAAATCAGAAACATCAGCAAGTGAATCTGACTCTAACACCTGTAACCACCATCACTAAATAGAAAATTCTTTTTAAAAATAATACATACATGTTTTATGATGTTTACATAGTTAAGAAGGATGCATGCCCCTGTGGACCACTGATTAGGGCAGAGAAATAGGAACTTCTTGAAGATAACCATGAACCTACCTTCCTCTTCCTTCAGAGACCCACATTCCCTGCCCTCGCCTCCATCCCTCTTACCCTGGCGACCCGGAGTTGGAGTATGAACGCTTGCAACCTCCTCAGAATCGTGGATCTCTAGCCGCTCATCGTAAGTCTGGTTTTCAACAATCTTGGTCTAAGCACAAGGAGAGAGAAAGACTTAACTCACGGGGAATCCTCGGCACTCCACCAGCAGGTGCATCCTGAAAAAGCGCGGGTTCCTCCCTCCTGCCCAAGATACCAGGAGCACCAAAAGTTTTCACCTCCATCCAAGCTTTCGTTAACAGCCGCCTGGCCCCAGGTCAAGCTCTGTCACCCCGATGGAGGGACTCGCTGGGGCGCCTAGCTGAGGAAGAGGCAAATGAGCTGGGAGCATCCACGTGGGCAGCTGCTCCCCCAGAGAGCCAGCACAAGGATACCAAAAAATATTCCTATCTGGGGCTGGAGGGGCAGCTCGGGTCTCAGGTCTGGAAGTGTCCCTGAAGCTGTGGGAGTTTCCCGGAGAAGACCTCAGATTTTTGCTTTTTTGTCTCGGTGCCACCCCTGGACGGGACAGCAGGATGGGGGAGATAGGAGGGAGAGATGGGAGGGTATCCCCAAGAAGAGACTAAGTCCAGCCTCTATGTCCTATTCATCAGACCCTCAAAGCATCACCCCATCTCCACCCCTTCGTCCTCCGATCCAGGAGAGGGAAGCAAGCCGGACAGCGGCTGGCAGGTGGTGGGGTGGGGGAAAGAGCCCAGGAACGGTTAGTTGTCATGGAGATGGGAGGAAGGCGCGAGAAGTTCCCTTAAAGTCCGGAGGGAGGGAGGCGGGCAGCTCCTTCCCCGGGGGTGAATAGGAGTTACCTGTAGCCCCTCTGAATCCGTCTCCCCTATATGGGCAGAACCCCAGCTTAGGGCCGGGGTCTCCAATCTCACGTCAGGCAGATTCTACTTGGAGCCAACAGCCTGTTGTCAGTCGCTAGGCAAAAAAGGCAGGGATCGCGAGATTTGCTTCCATTCTCGTGAGACAGGGATCTCTAGGCACAGGAAGGAGATGGGAGGCGTGGGGTTCAGATGAAGCCTCTCTGGGCCGCCGAGCCGAGGGCTTGTCTATGATTTTACTCGGTGTATCTGTTGCGCCGTCTAGTGGCCATGTGGGGCAGCCATGATTGATTCATGCTCACTCCAGGAGAGTTAGCCCTCCAGCCTGGATAGGCGTTTCCCGCTCGCCTCAATCCAGCCAAGGCGTGGGATCCTTCCAGATCGGTCTAATCAGAATTGAGACGGGCTCGCCCTAGAATATTCCACAACGCCTTGTATCTCCTCCTATAACATTTATTACATTTATGAATATACATAAGCCCCTCCAAAATGTCCTACCACATGAGACATACTTATATTAATATATTATTCCCTGGTTACCTGCCATTCAGCTCAATTCTGTGTCCTCTGTTTGTTTGCTAAAGGCTTTGAGCTTCTTTATGCCAGGGTCTGTGTCTAATTTTCTTAAGAGTGCCACTTCGTTGCAAAACTTAGGCATTCCATGGAGAGGTGGCATTTAGCCTAAGAATTAGGAAGCCTGCATTTCACATAGACAAATGTGGGTCTGATTGCTGGTCGCTGATTTTGGCTTCTAACTCCAGCTTCCTACTGCTGTGTACCCTGGGAGAGAGCAGGGATGGCTCAAGTAGCTGTGCTCTTGCCACTTGGAAGACCAGGCTGAGTACCTGGCTGCTGACTTCAGCCAGGCATCTGCAGGAGCCAGTGGAGGGAGCTCCATTTCTCAAATTTATAAAAAAGTAATTGGGTGCATGAATCAAAGAGTAAGTGATTAAGATGAAAGATGCACATATTTCACTTTTTGAAAAAATGATTTATTATTTATTCAAAAATGTAACACAGAGAGAGGGAGAGATCTTCAATAAGCTAATTCACTGTATGAATAATGGCTGTAAAAACCAGTATTGGGCAGTCTGAAGGTGGAAGCCAAGGAACTTCCTGGCCCATGTTGGTACAGGGGCCCAAGTGCTTGGGTCATCCTCCGCTGCTTTTTCAGGCATGTTAGCAGAGAGCTGGGATGAAAAGTGAATGGCCGGTCCAGCGTGGTGGCTTAGTGGCTAAAGTCCTCATCTTGAACATGCTGGGATCCCATATGGACACTGGTTCTAATCCCAGCAGCTCCACTTCCCATCCAGCTCCCTGATTGTGGCCTGGGAAAGCAGTCAAGGACGGCCCAAAGCTTTGAGACCCTGCACCTGTGTGGGAGACCTGGAGGAAATTTCGGACTCCTGCCTTCGGATCGGCACAGCACCGGCCATTGCAGTCACTTTGGGAGTGAACAATCAGATGTAGGATCTTCCTCTCTGTCTCTCCTCCTCTCTGTATATCTGAGTTTGCAATAAAAATAAAAATAAAAATGCATCTTTAAAAAAAGTGACTGGACACCCAAATGGATGCTGATCCCACAGACAGTAACTTTACCTGCTGTGTCACAGCACCAGCCTCTCTTCTTTAAAGTATGTGTGCTTTTTTTTTTTAAACAGAAATATGGTGTGATGTGTCCTTCCAGACATGAGAACATCTGTGCTTTCATAAGTTTCAATTAGCAAGTACTGGAGAGGTAAGTGATAAGGGTGAGAATGAGGCGGCAGGAAGGGCATGCCAAGGCCGTGGGTTCGGGAGCTGAGCAGCTTGCTTTCAATCCTGGCTTTTCTATGTCCTAGCCGTGAGAACTTTGCTAGATCAATTCTCTTCTGTGTTGCTTGATTTCCTCATGATACAATGAGGATAATAATGGTACCCGCCTCCATGTGAAGATGACAGGCGTGGCTGGTACAGTGTGGTGATTCAGTAAGCTAAGGAACACACAGGAGACACGGAGAGGCCTTATCACGTGATGGACAGAGTTGGGCTTGAGTCCTGGCTCTAGCACTTACTTCCAGGCTTTGTGCTTCATTGCTTTGAGCCTTAGTGCACTCGTCTGGATTGTTGTAAAGGATTAGAAGCAACATGTAAAACACCTGGCGCAAAGTAAGCACTGCATAAAAAAACAGTTCTTGGGGTTGGTGCAGTGAGACAACAGGCCAGTCCTCTCCCTGTTGGTGTCCAGTTCGTGTCCAGGCTGCTCTGCTTCCCAGCCAGCTCCCTGCTTGTGGCCTGGGAAAGCAGCGGAGGATGGCCCAAGGCTTTGGAACCCTGCACCCGCGTGGGCGATCTGGCTCGTGGCTTTGAATCAGCTCAGCTTCAGCCATTGTAGCTATTTGTGGAATAAACCAGGGAATGAAAGATCTCTCTCCTTCTGACTCTCCTCCTCTCTGTAAACCTGCCTTACAAAAAAGAAACCACCTAAGCCGATTATTATCTTTTATTACAGACATGTAGGCTTAACTTGTTCGAGTGTTGTGGGAAGAACTGCTGGATGGATTGTACTCTGAAAAGTCCAAGGATTGGCATGGGAGAACTACCAAGAGAGATGGCTGGAGGAATGGATTCAAGTCTGATTTGAATATGCACTGATCTACAAACTTTGGGATAATCTCTCTCTACCTCTCATCATTTATTAGTTTGTTTGAATGGCAGAGTTACAGAGAAAGGCACAGACAAAAAAAAACTCAAACAGAAAGAGAGGTATGTCTTCTGCCCCCTGGTTCCACTCCCTAGATGGTCTGAATGGACTGACCCAGGCCGGAACCAAAAACTTCTTCAAGGCCTCCCTACGTGGATACAGGAACCCAAACAATTAGGCCACCTGCTGCTGCTTTTCCCAGGCACATTAGCTTGATGAGAAGCAGAGCAGCCAGGACACAAACTGCCATTCATAGGTGATGCCAGCATTGCAGGCAGCAGCTTTACCTGTTATGCCACAGCGCCAGCCCCTGGGTTACTCTCTTTCTCTCTTTTTTCTTTTTCTATTTTTTGTATGAACTTTATTTTTTATAATTTTTACATATTTGGATAGTGTGCAAAGGGTCAAGGGCTAGAAGAAAGTGGGTGAGACCATTGTTTTCACATTCTTTTTTTTCCCTTCCTGTATCTGGAGGGAGGGAGAGTAAGAGTAGAAGCCACACCCAGCCTCCTACCCATCCCAGGGTCCCCAGTGTGGGGCATGCTCCGAGGGTCCTGCTCAAGTGGTTTTTTTTTTTTTTTAAGATTTATTTGTTTTTATTAGAAAGGCAGATATACAGAGAGGAGGAGAGACAGAGAGGAAGATCTTCCGTCCGATGATTCACTCCCCAAGCAGCCACAACGGCTGGACCGGAGCCATTCCGAAGCCAGGAGCCAGGAGCTTTCTCTGGGTCTCCCATGCGGGTGCAGGGTCCCAAAGCTTTGGGCCGTCCTCAACTGCTTTCCCAGGCCACAAGCAGGGAGCTGGAAGGGAAGCAGGGCTGCCGGGATTAGAACCCGTGCCCATATGGGATCCCAGTGTGTTCAAGGAGAGGACTTTAACCACTACACTGTTGTGCCAGGCCCTCAAGTGGTTTTGATAGTTCAACAGTTCTTTATTGCTGCCAAGTTTGCCACTCCAATCACAATGAAATCTCTCCAGAATCCATTGGCTGCTATAGTCCACCTTATAGTCTCCGTTTGCCTAGGTATTCACTGCCAACTCTTGGCTAGGGTACTTGATCAATTTGTTCTGTCCTCCATCCTCTATTATGTACCAGGTGTCCTCTGCAGGGTCCAGTGAGCTGCCGTATCCTCCATGTGCTTCTGGATATGCTGGCCTACTGCTCCATCTAAGCCACTGAGGAGGCCAAGCTCTGACACATGCACTCCACAGTCAGACCATGGAACCTGCAGTTTTCTCCATGGATAGAGTTCTGAGTCCAGCAGTTCACTTGGGGGGATTCCCAAAGAAACTTCATCTGAGGTGATCCCAGACCTGATTTTTGTGTATGCATTCTGATACAGGTTCTGGTACAGTCTGTCGCCCAAATTGGCTTTTGTACACCCTGTTGGTTGCAATTGCTGAGTCAGTTGTTTCCAGCCCTGTCTTCTATGCAAACTAATGGGTGTTGCAATCCAGCCCGATCCTGTCCACTGCATACTCGGCCCCCACATAAACCAGTGGGAGTTCTAGCCTAGTCGGAGCGACCCACAGAACCCCTCATTAGGCCCGCCCCCTGCCCTGGTCCCTGTGCTTGCCAGTATGTACAGCAGACTGGTCCTGTCTGTCCTACATTCCTTCCATTTAGCTCTCATGCATATCAATGGGCATTGGAGCCTACTTCAAGCCAATTAGCCCCACTACATAACCCATACATGTGCCGGCGGTTGCCACTCTGTCAAGTCATTCCTGCCCCTGGTCCTGGTATTCATGCTCACCAGGAAGAGTAGCAACCCAAGAGGGAGGTGCCCACTATTTCCCTAATGGGCTCACTCCCACATCCAGATATTGCACTCTCCAGATGGTACTACAGTTTAGCTCAACAGAGATTCCCCCTGTGCCAGCATCTGCTAGTTGATGCTGCAGCAAAGCCCAACCAACCCTCACCCCCTCTGGCTTACGCATGTACCAATAGGTACAGTCCTCCCAACCTGACTTGTCCCTGATTCAGCTTATATGGAGGCCAACAGGTGTTGTAGCCTTGCCAGGCCAGTCTGCCCTCAGTCCCAGCTCTCATGCTCAATAATGGGAATAGTGGCCCGACAGGGGCGATCCTTGCAGCCCTACTGGGTTCACTCACTCTTTCCCAGGTCTCACATGTGCTGGTTGGGCACTGCAGCTCAGTCTGGCAGGCCTGCCTCACCTCAGTATTTGCCAGTGGGTGCTATAGCCTGGCCCGGCCTTCCACCAGTTCCAGCTCACACTGGTGGGGACTACAGCCTAGCCAGCCCAGCTAACCCCCAGTCCCGGCCCTAATGTGAGCTGGCTGGTATTGTGGCCTGACCTGGCATGACCTACGTACCATTCTAGCTCTCAGATTTGCCAGTGGGTGATATGAACTTGCTCAACCTGGATCACCCCAGACATAAGCCCAAAATAAGCTCATGGGGACCTAACCTGGCCTTGCCTGGG